AGAAAGAGCGTGAGGGAGAGGGAGAGATGGATTGCATGCCCATCCCTTTAAAATTCAAAGAGACCGAATCATCAAGCCCAGTTCTTACGATATCACGTCCGTAGACGAACAAAAAAAAATCCAGAAAATTGAGAACGCGCAAAAAATGAGCAGAGCCTCCTTCCTGCTATTTGATGCTCCAACCGGACGCCTCCACCACACCTCATTAGCCTCCCATACGCACAGCCACGTATTTTGAGCGGAAGTTGAAAGGCGAGGCTTTATTTTTCTGCTTCTCACACTCCCTTTCGCTCGCTCGCTCGCTCGCTCTCTCTCATCTATCTCTCTCTCCCTCTCTCTCTCGCTTCCCTTTCTGCTCTATCAAATAAGGGGATTTCCTAGGAAAAATTGGCAAATACAATTTGACGTGAGGCTTGCGGTGATGCCCAAATTTTTTTAGGGCTATGGCATGCAAGAATAGTTAGAGCTAGTTTAATTTTAAGGTAAAAAATTAAAATGTAAAGTGAATTTCTCTAAAATAAAATAAATGTGGACCTAGGGGCCAAGAAACCGTACATACAGTTGTTTGGCTATTCGCCGGGGTTGTGGGCCCAGAGAATCTAATATATTGCCTATTTTATGAGGTGACAACTTGGCAGGAAGTATTGAAAATCGAAATCTCTCTCTCTCTCTTATGCTAATACCATACAGGACAGTTCAGATTGTCAGAAGTTTTTCAAAAGGTGTGGTAGAAACGAGTTCGAAAAGAAACGTAGACAAAAACAAGGAAAATTCATGAAATCGAAGCAGCCGGCCGAAACCTATTGGAACGATCGAAAATGGCCCCCACATCTGTGAACCCTTCACCTGGCCGCTTCTTCCTGTACGTTGACTTTTTTGATAGTACCCTGTTAAGCCGAAAAAGTGGATCAACACCTGGGCGGGAGGCTAGGGGAAAGATTCTTGGGCGGAAATAGATTTAGGCAGAAAGCTTCACGGTTCCTTTAAAAAATTTTTGACGTCTATAAGGCATATAATTTTGTAGGCAAAGTTCAACCTGGTAAGCTGAAGCCTAAATAGGAGCCCAAGATCAGGGCCTAAGCTTAAGACAAGTGAAGCTTAAGCTGAAGCGTATGCCTAAGCCGAGGCCTCTGATGGGTCATTATCATCATTTGAAAAGTCAAGCCAGAGGCAAAGACGCCGGGAGAGAGAGAGAGAGAGAGAGAGCGAGAGAGAGTGCGCGACAGAGAGAAATATACCCAAAAGCGTTTCAATCTCAAAGACCACGATATTCCCAATGCCCGTGTGGCCCAAAGAGCCGTTCGCCAGAAAAACGCGCCCCAATAAAACATGAAAAGCACCTGGCAAAGCGGAGGCTTTTCGTCAAAAATGGGCTGCAATTTGGCAACGGGCCCCATAAAAACCAGACAAAACCCCCACCGCGGGCAATTGCCGCTAAAAAGCTATGAAAATTGGGATGAAAAACAGCTGCCATCAAATCGAAGGTGTTATTTCAGATGGGGGAAATCGGCGATGGGTAAAATTCGAAGAACGGGCAACTACAAAAATCGGAAGACGGTACGAGGTTTTGGAGCCGGAAAATGCCAACAGAAATCGAATCATTTTTAATTTAAATTGGCAAAGCTAGAGAAATAATTTCCCCAGGGACTCTAAAACACAAAATATGTATTTACAATGCTGCATTTGCGCTGTTTTTAGCTTGACTACGCGAGGGAATCGAATTGCGGCATTTCACGGTGAATTGAGTCATACAGATCGGGCTCATTTCACTCTCCGTTCGAAATAAAGGGACCATGAAGCTTTATGGTAAAGAAAACATATGAGACGTAAATCAAACTGGCAGCGTTTTGAAACCAAAAAAATTCTCGAAAATGACTTACATACATCCCGCGGTTTGTACCCGTCAGCTGTGCCGACCCACCGCCACGAAATCTGAAACATTTTTTCTGAGAGAGACAGAGAGCGGGAGAGAGAGCGAGTGAGAGAAAGAGAGCGAGTGAGAAAGAGAGAAAATAACATTTCTTCGCGGGAATTCAGCCAAAAAATCATAATGCCCACAATAGATTTGTTCCCCAGGCCGTTTCCAGATTTAAAATCGATGATTTCCGGAAAATAAAATCTATCAAAACTGAAACTCAACCCCGCAACACATTGGCGTAACCCGGATATCCTGTAGTCAACCTCTCCCCAATTCCAGGGGTTTCACGGGGCGGGGGTGGCAAATCTTTTTCCGTTTCAAGATTCTGGCTGCACACATCCATTAGGGGGCAGCCCAGCAATTTTGCAATTCCATATCCGGTCCGGGTGGAGACGCGCCTGAGGCGGTTGCCGTTCCATTTTTTGCAAGCAAATTTCCCGTGTCGATAATCCGGTGATTGTGAGAAGTAAGTTTGGGTTTGGAAAACGGCGATTGCTATATGGAAAACCCAAGTCTAAAAACCCTCAAAACTAAGCTTATGCGGAAACGACATCTAAGCCTAAACCTAAGCCAAAGCGAAGCCTAAGCCTAAGCCTAAGACTAAGCCTAAGCCTAAGCCTAACCTAAGCCTAAGCCTAACCTAAGCCTAAGCCTAAGCCTAAGCCTAAGACTAAGCCTAAGCCTAAGCCTAACCTAAGCCTAAGCCTGAGCCTAAGCGTTAACCTAAGCTAAGCCCATGCCTCCTCGCTCTTTTAAAAGTAAAAGATAGCCCAGGTCAGAATTCGTGGCCCCTCCCTGAGCCCAGAGATCCAAAACGGCTCCCCCCAAAAAGTGGCTTCTTGCGGGGTTCAAGTCGAAATTGGGGGCGCTAGGAGGTTGGACGAGATTAAAGTTCCCTTCGAGCTTTTTGGTCGTTTCGCTGCTCATTTAAAGGGACGAGAAATGTTTGCCCATTTGCAATGATGGAATCATTGAACATCCAATCGGTCTCTTCCAGCCATTTCACAGGGTGTCCCAACAAGGGTACAGGCTTCTAGCGGCCTTTAGAAGTGGCCGATTTTTGTGATCTAGGTGCCAATCGCAGAGTTCTAGCTGTCTGCCGGTCATTTTACCTTTTTAAAACATCAAAATGTGGTGTTCCAAGGCGCGGCGAAAACGGCACAAAACTGTGGCACGGGAGAACGGAAAGAGGTGGATGGCCCCGGAAATGAGGAGGAGGAGGAGGAGAGACTATGACCCGGTCTGGGAAACCCACATTTTGCTAATGAAAATGGGGCTCTCACGGATAGGGAAAAGGAGGGTCACACGGCATCACATCCAAGTCCTAAAAATATTTCGGGCAAACATGGCTTTGGTGTTTTTGGTGTGCATTTAACCGAGATGGGAAAGATAACGAGAGTGATAAAGAGAGAGACAGAGAGAAAGAACGAGATGGAGAGAGAGACAGAGAGAGAAAGAGAGCGAGAGAGAGAGAGAAAGAGAGCGAGAGAGAGAGCGAGAGCTACGGATAGAGAGAGTAGCGTCTCAATGAGTACCGTAACCCCTCGAGCAAAAAGTGCTCAAGTACGAACGCAAAACGCCTCTTATGCCCCATCAGCAAAATTAGTCAGATCACGAGCGTAATTTTGTATTCAACGGAATTCGCTTTTTTCGCCGCTCCCGATGTGAATGCCTTTCACGCAAATCAGTGCTGTTGTTCACGGCGTGCATTTTTTTTGCCTTTTCTGAGTATGCGATTGGGGAACGCGTGGGGGAAGAGGGGGACTCGGAGACTCGGTAAAATCCGGAAATTTCCCTGCAGCTTCTAAGGGGCGTAGAATTCTGGAGGGAATGCTGAATTACAAAATACGGACGAAATCGGTAATGATAAGCAAAAATTCATCGCCAGATCCAACATTCCATGCAAAATTCTTCGCCAAGTATCCCTCCGGGGCCAGCAAGGGAAAGCGGGCGCGTCGCGTGTGTGTCCTTGGCCAGCAAAATCCATAGCAATACCTTGCTGGTCCCTTTAACGAGCCAGAGCCAGCCAGCCATACCGACCAGTCATTGGCCAACGCCCCCTTGTCTAACAAAATTAATTCGGCTGGTGCTCCATTTTTGGGAGACCCCTAGGGTCGGGAAGGTCAACGTGCCAAATTGAATTCTATGGAGGGGAGGAGAAGCTTTTTAGGGGTGTCGAAGAGAGAGAGCGAGAGCGAGAGAGAGAGAGAGAGAAACATGTCAAAGAGTCTATAATTCCTATACACTGCATTGGCCCTCCCTTCCCTGATACTGACATCGCTATAATTGCATCTGCATTGGGAGAAAATGTTTGGAAATCCGGAAATGAAATATTCATCCAGTCAGCCAGGGAGAGAGATAGAGAGCGAGAGAACAGACAGAGAGAGAGAGAGAGAGAGAGCGAGGGCGAGAAAAAGGGAGAGAGAGCGAGAGAGAGAGACAGACAGACAGACAAGGTTCGAACGGATTTGCACGAGCGAGCGTGACCTCCTTTAAAAATAAGTAACAAACAACATTTATAAATTTACAAATGCAAGGGAGTAGGCGTTCTTACTACTCCCACATTCTATTTACGGTAGTCAGAAAAAGTGTGGGCCAATATCGCGTCGAGAGGCCATTTTGAGAGGCTTTTTCCCGCCCCGTTCCCACCTGAAAATATCTCCCCCCAACCCAGTCACAAATTGTCTCCATTCACCGGCAAATGGTCATTTGGAGTATTTACGCGCCGCCAAAAAGCCAGCCATTTACCGTGTGCGGAAATTGAAAAATTAGGGAAAATCGGAATTGGAAAAGCTTCCAGAGTCTGACATGGGGAAGAATGGGACGGGAGAGAGAGTGAGAGAAAACGTAAAAAAATGACGCCCAGAAAAATGCTAAAATTTCGCATAAAGTTAAGAAAGTTAAACAACTTCTTCAAGGTCTTTTTGAATTTTTGAAGCCACTTCATGCTCCAAAAAAACCATCAAAAAATTCCGTAAAACAAGTAATTTGCATACGACATCCCGGAACTAAGATAAAAATTCGAAAATCCAAATCATCAAGTGCTGCCTGCCAATCGGCTTGGCATCAGCTTTTCCTCAACATGGTAAGAGCCCTGATATGCTAATTACGACACATTTAGCCCGCCTGGCCGGTCAACTTCCACAGCAGCGAGCACAAGACGACCACCGAGGAGTCGAGTCGGGTAAGGTTTAAAGGGATAGGGACATCGGCTCTGTTAACGCGTCAAAAACCAAAAACATACCGATTACTTAACGAAGATGTCAAATATTTGAACCTCACCCACCCCCCCCCCGCGCGCTAATGCCAAAGAACCAACAAACCCATTTTTCCAGCATGCCCCATCTTCGGAGCGTCGCTCTTCCCGTTCGTCTAGCTCTTCTCGTTCGCGCCGCCGTTCCCCATCTGCTTCGGTACGCTGTCTTGAGCCCTTACCCCATTCCGTATAATTCCCTCTAGACGCGACGTTCGACGTCTCGTTCGACGTCCCGCAAATCGAAAAAGCCGACGAGGTCCGGTGTCCGGACTCGTTCCCGTCGTCTTCCCACCATCAAGGAGAAGAACCAGACTCCTGTTCGTTCATTGGTCATCTTCTGCGTCTTCATCTTCATCGCCATCTTCAGTTCGTTTCATTCAGTTGCTCAATTAATTCTTCTAGTGATCCTTGGTGCTTTGATATTTGTCATCCTTGGAGCGGAAGTTCAAGATCACAAACAGATTCGGTACGTCTGAATTCCGAATTTTTAAGATTTTTTCAGTCACAATGCCGATACCGTAGCCAAATATGAGCTACTACGAGGAGAATTCGGACCCGATCACATTGACATTGGAGGGAATGACCCGAAATCGCCAATTCTACCGTAATCCGCATTTTTCCTTACCGTAATCCCAAGCGTATTTTAGGACGCCGACTTGGCAGATTCCGACTGAATCCTATCGACCGCAGCATTATGATGTTGATCTGCATGTGAGTAGATGAACAATGAATAGTGTACGCGATATTCCGATTGACAGGTCTATCTCCCCGGTCACGGCACCCCAATTCCGAAAGAACGCGAATTCGACTTCTTTGGCATCGTCAACATTACGGTTTTTTTGCTATGGGGTAGCAATTTTCGAATTAATTCTTCTAGTTGGCCGTCGATGAGCCGCAAAAACACATTGAACTGCACAGCAAGAAATTGGAGCTGGTGGCTGCCACGTTGATCGAGGATGGGGGGAAGGTATCTGGCTATCTCTCTCTCTCTCTCTCTCTCTCCCTAACTCTCACTCTCTTTCTCCTTAAGCTCCGCCGTCTCAGCATTCGATTCAACAACACCCTCGATCGTGTGGCTCTCTCCGATGGCAACGTCATCAACAAGGGCACCCATATCATCCAGGTTATGCAAAATTTCGGAAACTGATGAAAAATCTCTCCGATTTACAGATTGCCTATCGTGGCGTAATCAGTCGTTCGCTGTTCGGTCTCTACCGTTCCTCATATCAAACCAGGGATGGCCAGAAACGCTTCATCGCCACCACCCAATTCGAGGTGACGAACGCCCGTGAGATGACGCCGTGCTTTGACGAGCCGCGCTTTAAGGTGAGCTACAACGTCGATTATAGTGGATTTTTTTGATAACTTTCATTCATTTTTAACCAGAGGCCCCCTTGCTTCTGTCATCTACTGTCAACCCTCTTTTTTTCAGGCCACTTGGCGTTTCTCCGTCCGCCATCCCGTCAACACTACAGCCACCACAAATGCCGCCATCCACGGGCAGCCCTTCAGGTATTTTAATTTGTTCTGGTTTGTTAGCGGGGGGATTGGGGTGCGGGACTTCGCTTCGTTATTGCGGTTTATAGGGTATTCGTGACCTCCGATTAGTGAAAAACTTAAATAAATGTGAAAATTAGCTATTTTTCCAATTTCTGATTAACGTCCACATTTTACAAATTTGTAAGAACGAATAGCGGGGTCAAATGCTGTCATGGTCCCCCGCTAACGAACCTGCGCCTGCTGTTTGACGCTCCCAGCTACCGTAGCGTACCGATTTTTCAGCGAGGAACACGGTGGTCTCTCGTGGATTCGGACAAAATTCGAAACGAGTCCCGTCATGTCGTCGTATATCGTCGCTCTCGTCATCCATGACTTTGGCTACGAATCGGTTATTGCTTCGAATAATGTGAAGGTTGGTCGTGGAACAAATTTCGTTAGCTCTCTCTCTCTCTTTCTCTCTCGCCAGCATAAAATCTCTTGCAGATCGGCATCTATGCCCGGAAAGAGGCCATGTCACACACAAAAACGGCACTTGACGCGGCTGCACTGGCCCTGCCAGAAATCGAACGCCTGGTCGGAGTCAAATACCCACTACCAAAGCTCGGTAGGCAACTTTTAGCAAGCTTTGCTTTGCGCAGCCGCAGCGGCGCTGTGAGCAGACACGGTAACCCTAACCCGAAGCAAAACAAGCGGCCGAAAGGGAATTAAACTTTCTCTTCAGACATCTTTGCCATCCCCGACTTTTCCGCCGGCGCCATGGAGAACTGGGGAATCATGACGTTCAAAGAAAGGGTGCGTTGCCGTACAATGCGCCGTTTGGATTAATGCGACTTGAGTTTCGGGCCCCGCACTATGTTGTGCATGACTGAAATTCCCGTTACAGCTGTCGCTCTGCCGTGATCCTTGCCGCGACCCAAGCGAAATTCGTGAAGTGATGGCCCACGAGATTGCTCACCAGGTTCAGCCCTTCATTTGCCATACTTTTTTGGCTTATTTAAAATGCTGAATTTTTTCGGCACTATGATTTTTTCATTACGTAGCTTAGACATCGTGGCCGTATCTCGATTTTTTTAGTGGTTCGGCAACCTGGTGACGATGGAGTGGTGGGGAGATTTGTGGCTGAATGAGGGCTTCGCCACCTTCATGCCAATGTTGGTCGAACGGAAGAGACGGACCGGTGATGACGGGTCGAATACGTTTGCTACACTCGTACGTATTCCTAGTCTTTCTAGTTCACCGTCATGCTATGGTTCAATTTACCCCCCCTCCCCAGCGGCCCCCACCTACGGTATCTCGACAACCCGCTGTTGTAGGGGTCTGTAAAGTATACCAAAATACACGCCACAGCCAAGGCGAACATTTTGGTATACTTTACACACCTGTAGATGAACAGGAAACCGAGATACAAAAGTTGGATGCCGGCTGTGTGGGGGGTGCACCGAACTCTAACCTACCGTAATTTTCCCTGCACTAGAACCATGCTTCCCCGCGGAGTGTTCAGGCACCCAAGTGGATTTTTAGGACTATGATGCTATTGCCGGCTGGTATTGGAAGATTGGCAGTGACCAATCGTTCCCCCTCAAGCCGATCGTCATTGGGAACGCGACGCGCGGGGACAGGAACTACAATGTACGGCCGAAGCCGTGACTAAGCCTAAGCGCTAGCCTAATTTAACTATAAGCTAAAGCATAAGCCTAAACCTAAAGTTCTCCAGTTTTTCGACGCACTCCATCGCATTTCTAGCGCGAGCCGACCACCAGCTACGCGTTGACCGACATGTTCGGTGGATTGACGTACCAAAAAGCGGCTTACGGCATCTACACGATGTACGCGACGCTTGGCGAGAAGCGCTTCTTCGCCATGGTCAAAGTGAGTGGCAAGATTTGTAGTTTGTCGAGGACTAAGACGACCAGAATCTCCCCCCTCCTAGGCGTACCTCGAGAAGAACAAGTACTCGACGACCTCTTGGCGTGATATTTGGATGGCGGCGGATGAGGAGAAGCATGGGCTGTGGCAGCAGGCCGTCCAAGCTCACCTGGACCACATTTTGCTGGTGAGCCCATATCTGGGGGGGTATTGGGACACCCTGTAATTTCAGCCGGGCTACCCCCGAATCGACGTGGCTCGGATTGGCAAGAATCGATACGCAATCACCACCCATCGTCACTGTCTATCGGACGAGACGATGCATGCCGACCGGAGAAATGAGTCGGTATCTCAAAACTTTATTTTAAAGGGATGGGTAAGGCATCGATTAGGTCTCCACGACGGAATTGGTCGTCATAATGCACGCGGCGCACGCCGAACGGCTGAATTTTGCCAACGTATGACCCTTCACGCCGCGTGCGTTGCGTGTCGAGGACGTATCGAAATCCGTTAGGAGTTGATGGTTATTGCTTCAATTAGTGACCTCCGTGACAGCACCTGGCGTATTCCGATTCAATACCCGGGACAGAAGGAGCTCCAATTTGTTCCGGCTAATGGTGGGTATTATGCGAGCTCTACCTCCCGCTCGCTCTCACTCATTCTCTCTCTCTCTCTCTCTCTCTCTCTCTCTCTCTCTCTCTCTCTTTCTCTCGCATAATGTTCTAGGCCCCCTCATCATCGAATCGGACAAGATCCCCTTGGTCAACCACCAGCGCCTCGTCTACGCCCGCGTCAACTACGGAGACCTGTGGCCGGAAGTTTTGCAGCAAACCAAGACTGAGGTATTGCGTTCTTTCACTATCATGTGCCTTTAGCCCCAAGACATGGTGACACCACGTTCTGTCATCTTCAGTGATTTGTTCCCGATGGCCGCCACCGGCGCTGTGCCCTATAAATTGGTCCTCGAAATGTTGGAAACCATGGGACAGGTAAGGCATACTCGCGAACTGTCAAAAATGTATTTGACTTTAGAATCCGAACGCCGATCCTGATCTGATAAGAGGGTTCTGGAATATCGAAGAAAGACTTCGTTCCAATGGGCCGACACGCCGTATGCTCGAGATCCTGAATGTGGGCTTCCGGGGAACAATTATCCGATTTTTCAGAATGCCAGTAGCTACTACAATGGACTGGCTTTTCCTTCAATCCCGCTCAACTCTACGCAACGCAAGTCAGTGCTTACGACGAAACCAAGCCCAATCTAACTCGAAGCCAATCCACCTTTTCGGGGCTTTGACGTTAACCGGGGGAGGGGGCTGAGCCTAAAGTCCTCCAGCTTTCGACGCTTTCAACGACGTGGGAAAGTTCTCATAACCGATCAAATTTAGGCTGAAAATCGCTGCAGCCCGCCAACAACGACACCAAGATCAGCGTTATTCCATGGAACAACAGGAGTTGCTGGACCTCTTCAAGGAGTACGTACCATGTCTAAACTCACAGCCCTCGCCCTCCTAGATTGGACGATCAAGCTCTGAGGCGGAAGCTCGGCATGCCAGTGGCCGACGAGGGCGAGCCGGCTTGGCGTGTCTTTGAGAAGCTGGTGATCGAGGCCTGTCCCGAGGGGGTGATGATCAGCAAGTGCAGCAAGTATGGCTCTATGCTCGATCCCGTAGTATTGCTTCAGATACGCAGCATCGGACCGTGCGACCGGCTACGTGCGCGCCATAGAAAGTGGCGACGATGAGAGGAGGGAGAAAACATCTGCTTTCATGTGGAAATCGCTGGAAATTGAGAGTAGCGTCTAGAATAGCAAAAAACCTATAAATATTTCTTTTTTTAGCGGACCCAACGGAAAAGAAGGCCCTTGCTAATGCCATCATCAGATCCAAGGATTGGAAATGGGTTGAACGGTGAGAAAGACAGTGAGAGATAGAGAAGAGAGAGAGAGAGAGAGAGAGAGAGAGAGAGAGAGAGAGAGCGAGAGAGCGAGACACAGGGTTTAGGCTCAAGCCTCGCTTAGATCCGCTTTTTAGCCTTCTCGATGCTCATATCAACAATGCGGGCCTGACACCACCCGATTCGACGACCTGGTATGCCGAGTTAATCGGAGGACGCCAGGAAACATTCGACTGGCTCTACAATAATATGTCCTCCATTGTCAAGAGGTATTTATACCTATTTTACCTGGATTATGATCGATCACTAATTAACAGCTACAACGAGTCCTCGGAAGCCCTCAAGGAACTCATTGAGACAGCTGTCGGCAAGTTCCAGCGCAACGAGGCACTGCCCCTCCGGGTATCTACAACCTCGCCTGAAAATAGTTTTTCATGTCCAGGTCGCCCTGCTCCAAAGCCATCCGGATTTGCCGGAAGCGCTGCGCCCACTCCGCTTCTGGTACACCGTCCCTGGAGAATCAGCGCATCGAGGCCGCCTGGCACAAGAAATATTCGGTAAGGAATTGGACGGGATAGCAGAAATGATTGCGGAATCGCCGTAAACATGACTCCTAGGCCTAGATTTACGCCAAGCCTCACTCTAAGCCTACGCCTATTCCTAAGCCTAAGCCTGTGCCTAAACCTAACCTAAGCCTAACCTAAGTCCAAGCCCATGCCTAAGCCTACACCTACGACCGAGCCGACTCAATATCCCCCTCTCTTCCAGTTCGAGCTGCTCGAGGCGTTCGCCAAGCTTCCGCAGCAGAAGGAGGCCTGATCGGCCCTGCTTGTGACGAGGATCCGGATTGATACCCCCACCAATCCATATTTCCCCTGATCCGTACCATGACTCTGTATGGCCAATCCAGCCCACTTCTTTTTTTGGGTCTTCCGGGTCTCCTCGAATAAACGGATTGCGAGGTCGAATTTGAAGTAACAGGAAAATCGGCTAGATCGAAGAGGAGATACAGAGAGAGAGAGAGAGAGAGAGAGAGAGAGAGAGAGAGAGAGAGAGAGAGAGAGAGAAGAGAGAGAAAACCGCGCTCCATGCATTCCAAAACACTTTATTACTTAAAAACACACCACTATGTACACACCATGAAATTGCGAGATGAGATGATACGAGAGGAATGAGATGCATTTTAGGGCAGTACATGTAATAAATTTAGGATAGAGCAGCACCGTATTTACATGGGTCGGAAGACGTAGCAGGTGACATCACCCGTTGATGCCTGGCAGTAGGTGTCCGTGTAGGCGACGTAGCTGAAGTCTCCGGCCGCGCAGATGACGTTGAACTTTCCTGAAAAAGGCGGGAAGGCTGCATGACAATACCCTGGACACCTACCAAACAGTCGGGCCTCGGCCTCACGCTGGACGGCGCGTTTCGACTCGCTCGGGTCGTTGGTCATGAACTGAAAAAGTTGGGGTGGGAACAATTTGAAGAGAAGCCGCCGCAACATTACGTTACGATACGTTGAAATACGCAAGACCCACCTCCGATAAAACCTGCTTCAACTTCTTGCTCGAGCAGGTCGGGTCGAGCTCCTCCTCTTCATCGTGGCTCCCCAGCCTCGAACAATTTCGAGCCCATCGTCCGTGCGCGGCGGGCCTAAATGAACATTTTTTGTATCAAGAAACTCGACTTCTCAAACCTTGAATGCACATGGGGTACCACATCTACAGCAACAGTCGTTGGCAGGTGGGGCTACGTACTAAAAAAATTTTTTTGCTTGTCAGGGTTTCTCTAAAGGGACTCAAAGGTGCCGAAAGGTACCACATGGGCTGACTAGGTGTCGATAACTACGCGATGCTTCAAGTAAGCCTTCGGTTTGGAGGGTTACTCGGCGCCTCGCGTAGCTGTCGACACCCAGCTGCCGGAAGGGGTAGATTCTCGTCAATCTCATGAAAACTGTCCTACCTGCGGCATTGGCGGGAGCATTGGTGGTGGGGGAGCATAGCTCATACAGGGTGGAGGTGGAGGTGGACACATTGGAGGAGGAGGAGGCGGGGGAGGTGGTGGACACATCGGAGGAGGTGGGCAGAACTGAACATTGGATTTTAAGGGCTGATAAGGCTTTCTTTAACCCTAGTCTGAACTCGCAAACACTTTTCTGACGCCATTCTGTCACAGCACCCCCAATTTTGCCTTCCCCATTCCTTGAAGCATACCTGTGGTGGACATAGCGGTGGTGGAGGGCATGGAGGAGGTGGCGGTGGACACATTGGAGGTGGTGGACAAGGCATTGGAGGAGGTGGCATATAGGCCCCACCACAACAACCACCAAATGTCGCCTGGATGGGTCCCGCAACGATCGCCAAAATTAAGACGGTGGACAGCATTCTGGAGATTATTGATGTTATAGAGCCAAAAACGATGATAAAAATGAAAGCACATCTAAATAAATAACTTAAAGTATCTTAAGAGGCAAAGTTACTGTAGCTAAAAATGCGCTGTTCCGCTTCACTCCTCTGGACACCCAACCCGCAGTATTTGTACCCAATCCGTGAAGCGGACGGAGGGATTGTTGCTGTTATGCGTCAAGAGAGAGCGAGAGAAAGCGAGAGAGCGAGAAGCGCGAAGGTCAAACCCCAAGCTGACTCATGCTCCACCCTCTTTTTCCGCTGAAAATGGTGGACGACAAGGGTGGGAATGATGGGTTTTCCATCCCTCTACTACCCTTTGTGACGTCACGAGAAAGGCAGCATTTTCAAGGCGTTTTTTAGGAAAATCCTGAGTCATAGTGCCCTCCAAAAACCTATCAGCCTGCTGCGAATATCTATAAAAGGTGGGAATTCCCTCTATTCCAAGCGCGTCCAATTTGCACACTAGATGCCGACGATCTGCCAGTGAATAACGAGCTTATTCGGCGTTTTAAAGGGGCTGAGAAGTGCTAGAATTCGACCCCTCTCGGGGACTAGGTGTCGGCGGCCACGTAAAATAACCAATTCGTTTCAGAACCAACTACTACGCGTAAATGTCGAGACCAAGCCAACGGAAGGGTTCTTTCAAAATCACAAAGGATTCCTGCTGGCTTGCCCCATCCTGGAGTAAAAGAAAACGGAGTAGTTCGTTAGCGAGGGCCTCCCATTGAGATAAGGAACCCCCTCTAAACTCCCTCCCCCCAGCTAAGCAACCAGAGCCAGGGAAACAACAAATCAAAAGCCTTGTCTTAATATCGGAACAGAAATTGGGCAAAATGAAATGAATGGGGCAGCGGGTGGACGACGGGCATTTGAAGGTCATCCCGAAAAAGGGATGCCAAAAAGAAAGGGGGGTGAGAGAAAGGGATGAAGGATGGAATGATGACCACAATAGAATCGGCTGCCGGGGAATGCTTTTCCTTTTTTGGAGACTGTAGTGAGGAATGTCCCGTAGGGGAGAGCGAACAGACAAACAGACAACCGGGAAGACTGTCGAGTGCCATTATAAAGCGCCATTTTGTGGCCGGCTCGCGAAATTTGGGTTCGGAAAAGTAAGAGTACAAGTGCCAGGACAAGTTTAATTGTTCATAGAAAGGGAAAAGGGCTTTCATACAAAATAAAGTAACCTTTCTAGACGTTTTTAAAGGGGAGTGACATACGCCAATGGCAACCGACATTTTTCAGCTATTTAAAGACGACTTTTGGACCTCTGAAAAATCTGGAATCTGGAAGTCTGTAAGAAGGGGTGCTTGCGCATTATCGGGGGAGGGGGCAGGTTGCAGCGATTCTTCAGGAAATTTCAAGCGCGCAACCCGCGAAAGTGAATTCAACCCCCTAACAACCTTAAATACCTCTTAATTTCGGCCGTATAACTGGACGCTAGAGGTGCGCATAGTAAAATCGGAAATTGCCGAGAATGGCCAACAATGGAGCGCTTCCTCAGAAAGACCGTAACACCCCGGTGGGCATATAATTGGGGTGGGGCTGGGGAAATTATGCCGTTCCGCTCGGCTCCTTTATACGCTTCGCATGTTGCCCGAGACTCGTTGGCTCCGTGTCTGGCTACTTTAAAGGGACGTTTAAGACGGGACCATGGCTGGGAGCTTTGCCGCGTAATGCAACGCAACGTGCGACGCTCGCCGCTATCCGAAAATTTGAAAAAACGCGCAACCCACCCTTAAAAGCCCATTAAATCCAAAGTACATCCAAACCCCTGCATTTTAAACGATTTATGCATAAGGAATCTCGATATATCTATGTACAGCCTTTTCAGGTCCCAATTCCGCGTAGCGCTCTCAGGCCAACGGTATTTTCTTTGTGGTAGAGACGGTAGCGGTTCGAGAAGAGTCGACAATGACAGGTGTAGCGGGAGGGAACACCAATGAGATGATGGCCAAGGGAGAGGCTGAAAATCGACAAAATTACCAGTCCTTTCAAAGTAGCCATCAACTTCCTGAATTCCGTAAGTTTTTTGTCTCAGTTTCAGCATAAAAAAAAATTATAATTTTGAAATTTAACAATGTTAGAGCTGAATTTTACCCTTTAAACGCACCCAAAATCGACGCAGCTCCTCCGATAATCAGAATATCGATGCACCAGCCAAGGCCCAGGGCCGAGAGGCCTTCGGCTGAAACGCGAAACTCGAACAGTTGCCCTCGGCTACCATAACCGCCATCAATCCCTTGTTGTTTTTCACATTCTTCAGGACGTGTGCCGCCTCGACGATGGCCAGAATGGCGACGGCTAGCTGGATGACGGCCACGAGGATTAGACACAGCTGGAAAAACGAATATTTCTCATTTGAAGACGTCGCTAGGAGATCCAGTTTAAGCTCAGCTTAAGCCAGCTCACGCCCATTCTTACGCCCAAGTCTAGGCGTTTACCTAAGCCGATTCCCAAGTCAATCCTGTGCGGAACCCTAAGCCTAACCCTACGCCTGAACCTAAGGCTAAGCCCAAGCCTAAGCCTAAGCCCAAGCCTAAGACTAAGCCTAACCCCAAGCTCAACATCTTCAAGCAGTTTAATTCACCCCCCTCCCCACCGCCCCACTGCTCAATACTGCTGCTCAGTCCTTTCGATCAAAATGCGCCTGTCTTTTTGAGCCCTGGCCACGGGGCGATATCAGTGTTTTTCGTGCGATGGTCCGCAGCCGTCTTTTCGACCCCCACAATTCGACACCACAGCCCTACTTCCAAATCGGCTTTACTCCCCCCCCGGTCCCCCCTCCTCGCGCATTTCGATAAGCTGAAGCCGAACTTGAGGCACTGGCGGAGACCACGAGCCGATTAGTAATTAGTTGCAATAGGGAGTGGTGGGGGGAGGGAAAAGGGTCTATTGCACGCAGATATCAGCGGTTCACGGCAAACTTCGCACGCAAAAAATCTTTTGATCGAAGAAGCAACCGTTCGGTACATCTTTCAACTCTTTTAAAGGGACTAGGAAACCAAAAAAAACCATCCTGGCTTCGCCTAGGTATAGACAACGGCTACGTTTATCTCTCAATTTCGCTCACTTTCGTCCACTCTCTCGTTCACTCTCTCGCTCACTCTCTAACCCTCACTTTCTCTGACTTTCTCTCTCTCTCTCTCTCTCTCTCGCTCTCTTCCTTTAATAAAACTCTCCACCTTCCTAACAACAGCCTGTTTGCTCCTCCACCAGAGCAGCCCAAAGATGGCGATCGTCAGGATGTCTCCAACCACAGCCGGAACCAGGAGAGCACCAGCTTCATGCCCAACGGCGTTTGTTATGGCCTAAAGTACGAATTGCCAGTCTTGACGCTGGTGTGTCCTCTTTAAAACGCTAAAACACACCTTCCTCAGCTCATCGCAGTACGCATTAATGTCAATATCGGGGTCAATGTCCGACATGTCACTCGGATAATCGGAGCATCGGCTCGGCAACATCCCCACCGTCATACTGAACCCCTGCAAATTTCGGAGTTCGTACTTAATGTATAGAATTTGGAGCAGTTACCAAGAAAAAACATGCTATTCTTTTGCTTCTGAAATTCTATCATTTCTGCAAGATTATGAATTGATTATCTATCTTGTATGATCACCTTCGCTTAATGGGATCACTTTTCCTGGTTGTTTAAAGGGACGAGCAAGGCAAAAATCTACGCTTTTATTGGCTAAGTTTTGGGGCTTGCTAAGTATCGGCAACAGCCAACAAAAGGTATCGTAATTGTTTACGCCATGAAAGGGAAGGCGCAGGCGTTGCGTGTCGCGTCTAAACTCAAATCAATAAGCACTCCAGAGCTTTCTCGATCCTTTAAAAACTCATCTTTTTTTTTGCTTACTTTCCTGAATAAAATATACCACTATTCCATGAGATCTTGTCACCAACCTTAACATTGTCGACGTGGACCCAGTCTGAAGAGTTCGTTTTCTAATGAGTGACCTGATCACCGTATCCTACCGTCCCCAAATGAACCGGCCATCGCGAACAGGGTAGATGCGAGTGTCAATGCCCCCGACGCGATCAGGCACAACTCACCCACATGCACCACCATTCTCTACCGTAGCGTTGCGTAGGGTACTGTGGAGTTCTGGAAAAACGTGTCCTAGGTCAACACTAAGGAAGCTCGGCTAGTTTTCGAAAAGGCCCTGGGTTACGGTACCAAAAAAGTGCCCCGCGGTCGGATTTGACCTGGCCGTTATCGGGGGTGGCCTCGAGAATCCGGAGAATACGCGGTATGCTCACAGCCTGAATGGGGCGGAGCCACGCGGAACCAAAAAGATCCCCGCCACAATCGTGACAATTCTTCGATGCTCTGAATATTGGGGGGAAAACAAGGGTTCGAAGTTTGGTCAAAGAATTGGGTCATCCTCAGGGGTCTATCCTAAAGGAACGCGAAAGGCATGTTTGCACGGAACTTTCGCATTATCGGGGGGGGGAGGGTTCGGGAAACCGCCTTTCGTATAGTTCCATAGATTTATAGCAACGAAAAAAGCATTATTTATATCCATATTTCAAGCCGAAAAACTATGTAAAAATTTTCGAAAAGTTAAACTTTGGGTCGCAAGATCAATATTTTATTTTGGCTTTTTTTGCTAAAACCTTGCCAGATTTTTTAGTTTAGAAATAATAATAATCAATACTTTAAAATAATTTCTTTGTTTGCCTTAAAAAAATTTGATATTAAAGAAACAAAGATGGTTTTTCCCCTGATAAACTCATCCCCCCCCCCCCCCGATAATGCCAAAGAACCATATATTTTTTCGATGTAAATTGCTCTGATTTTCATTTTGGGTAATTAGAGCCAATAATATTGATGGCCAGGCCTGAACTTTTCTTTAAAAGGAATAGAAAAGGCTAAAATGCTTAGGCGACTAGGCCTCGACAGCTACGCGCTACACCTAAACACGTCTTCGAAGATAATCCAGCTATTAAAATACGATTATCGAGTTTTAGTACAACAATTTGTTGAGGAAAATTCCATTCACTGTCCTGGTCATCGTATTTTTACCGGTTACGCTAGTTACTAAGTTTTTTAGAATTTCTGTACTTTTGTGGCATCTTGTTAGGCAAATCTCAAATAGGAACTTTTGACTCCGCAACCCTTTAAGACCCATTAACTGTCAAAACTCGCTCTTCATTGTTCGGGACAGACCAAAGATCCGACCACCTGTCATTTATGGGCTATTCATAGGTGTTGCCCCCCCCCTCTTCCTGAAATCGGATCTTTTAAGCGTTTTTTTCGCAGGTTGCAAGCGACCAGTTTACGAGGTGAAGCCCCGCGGGCGGCCACGAGTTGGGTGCAATTATTGCCCGCCTGGCAGGCAAGGATTTGACGCACAAGTTGGAGGAATGGCCGTTCTGCCCCGACCCGCCTAGCAAATTCCGTGATAATGCACGTGACAAGGCAAAGTGTAAAGAACGACATCAAAAATAGGTAATAGGCTTAGGCTTAGGCTTCGGCATAGCTTTAGGCTTAAGATGGGCTTAGGCTCAGGGTTAGGCTTAGAGATAGACTTAGGCTTAGGATTAGGTTTAGGGATAGGCTTAGGTTGTGCTTAGAATTAGGCTTAGGCTTAGGATCAGGCTTATGCGGAATCGTTGGCGAGAGAAATTCGTGATCCTGGCTTGCCAGTCCCTTTAAGACTGATCAACAAAAATTAGCAATGGTGTTTATAATCCATCTAATTTCAATGCTAACTGCTATAATTACCATCCATTGCGTTTCCGCGACTATAAAAAGAGAACTGCCGTGTCCGGGAATCTTTCTACGTCTTGTAACGAAGCAACCAACTGTATTCAGTCGACAATATGGATACCCGTGGGTCTATCAAGCGATTTCAATGATTTTTCCACGTTTTGCAGTCTTCTTTCTTAGCCTGGTGATGTGGTGCCTTTTCCCCGTCCTGGCCGTCGTGCTCGTTCTCGTCTTGAAGAAAAAGAAGATCAGGAGGAAGAAGCTGGTTCGGATTTTTATCATGTCTAAAGCCCAAGCCTCCGAAGCCCACGTCTAGGCATAAGAAGCTTAAGTTTAAGCTAAGCCTAAGCCTAATTCCTAAGCCTAAGCCAAAGGCTAAGTTTAAGCATATTCCTAAGCCGAAGCCCAACCTAAGCCCAACCCTAAGCTTGTTTCTAGGCTCACCGCAAGGTCCCTATGTCACCCGGTGACCCGAAGTCCACTCTTTCGGTGGCCAGCAGCAAGTGATGGTAACCTGCCTGCACACTGCCAAACCTAAAAACCTCATCCCAGTCCAACGAGTACCGCACCGCCACCGAGCCGGCCACTGATCTGAACATCTCCTCGAACAAACCCGCGCCCAAGCTCCCATCTCCACCTTGTTGAAATAAAAACATTTATTGTGTTCTTGTTCATTTTGATGCCGACAACTACGATGGAAAACGCGGGCTTTCGCATTATCGAGGGGAGCAAATTGTTCTGCTTTGGATTCCATTTTGGCTACTTTTATATAGCTTTCACTATCCTATGCGCAAAAACTACAGAAGTTTTTGAAAAAATACAAGAATATCTACTTTTCCAAAGAAACAGGACGATTTTTTCAATTTTCAATTTTCTAGGCTTTTCAGATAGATCTCTTAACGGAAAAACAGCGAAATCTACATAAAACTATATCCAAATCCAAAAATCTAAACATCTATAGCAACATTTTAAAAATCATAAATTTTCTGGTCGAGATCGGTTTTTTGGATGTTTATAAATTTCGGAAGTTTTGCATTTAGCAATGAAAAAAAGCTTAGAAACACTTCCTCTATCCATATTATTAGAAGAAGTCCTAAAATATAGTTTAAGAAAAAGTCGATCCCCCGATAATGTGAAAGCACCAGAATCCACAGCAAGCAAGGTTTTTCGCTATGCCTTGCCCGTACCTTTAAAACGGTGCCTCGCCCTTTGATCCCCCATTTCTGGTTTTGCTCGTATTCCATTTTGTTCCATTCCTTGAATCACCACAAAAAATGGCGACCACAGTTCCGTGTTTTCCCCTCAAAAAAAAGTTAAAAGGCCGTCCGCGGGTCACTCAAACAGTCCCCATTATGGCTTGGCACAGTTTTTTTCGACCCCGTCTTTCGACGCCATGTGAAAGAGCATGGTCGAATTAGTAGACCTGCATAGTTTTTAAAGTTTAAAAAGTTTAATTTTGGGGCTTAAATGGCCGTTAAAGTTGCCTACCCAGAAAAACTATCTCGGAGCTCACTGGGCGGATCTGCATGAAACCTCGGGACAATACCTAATTTGAGGCGCTGATCATTTTTGTAATACATTGCAAAGCACGAAAATGACCGGAACATGGGAATATCGTGTAGTCAAAACAGTTTTTCCGGGGTTTCGTCATGATGGAAAGTTTGCTGTAAGCTGAAAGTTATATCAAAATATGCGCAAAAAATTTCTGCATCGAATGGTGTATTTTTTAGGATGCAGCCAGTTTTCCATCATGTCGAAAAATTAGCTTTTCTAGAATCGAGAGAAACCATCTCAAAATGTATAAGAAAACTCCTTTGTCAACGTAAGTAAATAGAACCCCATATAAAAACTAGCCAAAACCAAAAGCAAAAAAAAGCAAAAAGAAATTCCCTTCTTACGCGGAACTGGCGATTTGCGGGATCGAACCCGCGATGGTCCGCCTGGGGCGCACGGGGGACGGGGACTAGTGGGCGCCGCCAGGTCCCACGCGAACGACCCGAGTTCAATCCCAGCCCCCTCTCAGAAGCCGAATTTCTTTTTGCTCTTTTTTGCCATCGGTCTGATTTCGTCTCTAGAAACCAGGCAACGTTTTTTATATTTAAAATTTTCGAATTTTTGCACCTGAGGCTTAATATATCAAATTTTTCGACATGATGGAAAACTGGCTGCATCCTAAAAAATACACCATTCGATGCAGAAATTTTTTGCGCATCTTTTGATATAACTTTCAGCGTACAGCAAACTTTTCATCATGACGAAACCCCGGAAAAACTGTTTTGACTACACGATATTCCCATGTTCCGGTCATTTTCGTGCTTTGCAATGTATTACAAAAATGATCAGCGCCTCAAATTAGGTATTGTCCCGAGGTTTCATGCAGATCCGCCCAGTGAGCTCCGAGATAGTTTTTCTGGGTAGGCAACTTTAACGGCCATTTAAGCCCCAAAATTAAACTTTTTAAACTTTCAAAACTATGCAGGTCTACTAATTCGACCATGCTCTTTCACATGGCGTCGAAAAAACGGGGTCGAAAAAAACTGTGCCAAGCCTTGTTCGGATGACTCGCAAACGGCCTTTTAATGGCCAGAAATGCCGAGATATATTCGTAGAATATTGAGAATGAATGGCGGTGCCCAAGTCACACACGCAAAACGGCTGTCCAAACATCTCCACCCCCCCCCCAGCCATCATCAGTTTTGCGCATAAAATCTGCCCGTCCTGAAAGCCGGCCCAGTTTTTGGAATTTCCAAAGGCTCCCCAGCGTTCCGCTATGCTCCTCGTCACACTTTTTACAGTATTTTCCGCAGTATTGGCCACTTATGATTTGGTGCCGGTAAAAAGGGCGAAGAGACAATACTACGTCTGCGGTATCTACCCTAATCAATTTTATTCATATTATCGTAAGTTTTGAGCGTATCACGATCGATTTTGCTATTTAATAGGGTATCACAATACAGAGAGAGAGAGAGAGAGAGAGAGAGAGAGAGAGAGAGAGAGAGAGAGAGAAAGAGGGGGAGCTAGAGAGAGAGAGAGCTAGAGAGAGAGCGACAGGGAGAGAGTGAGAGAGCGAGAGAGAGAGGGGAGAGTGAATGAGAGAACGAAAACGAAAACTCACTTTCGCCTAAAGCCGACAATGCGACACGTTCCTTAACAACAAAATTCCCCTAAAATGTCAATCGAATGCATTGCGAAATTGGGCATTTCCCAGCTTTCGAATGGTATAAAAACCATAACCGACCCGACTCTTCTAACTCAAGATAAGAACGTTTTTATCCTAATTCTTTTTCATCGTGCAGCTTGCTCGAATAACGGCGTGCAAACCACGCGGAATCCAATTTACGGCTACTGCACAAATGGCGGGCAGATGATAGGCGTTGGTTGTATCTACAGCTATCAATGCACTCCTTACACGTACGCAACGCTGCAAATGACGCGTCACATTAGCTGGTTCTAGGACTCAAACTGTGCAATGTTTGAATGGATGTTGCTGCACATCTCCCTTCTACACGCAGCAGCCGCCGATTGGGGTTCAGGGTGGGTGTAGATGATTTTGGGATGAGTAGATGGTTCGCGTCAGATCAGATATTGACCATTTAGTTAATGATCCGTTTAGGTTTTTGCTATAACGGACAACGCGCGACTGGAAGGTGTTCAACGAGTTCAGGATGTTCGGTGGGGCAGACTTGTATGAATGGGTTGTGCTGTCGGACGACTGGATTGGAATATCAGTGTAAGGAAGAGCGAGAGAGAGAGAGAGAGAGAGAGAGAGAGAGAGAGAGATAGAGAGAGAGACATTTTCAGACGCTTGTGGCGGTCAAGCGGCCCTCGCATCATGCGTCTCCTCCCAATGTGGCCAATTCATCTGCACGTCTTCAAACTATTGCTGTGAATGCCAATATGGACAGACAGCTGGCACCTGCGCGAATGTGAGACAAAATTAAAGGAACCTGCAAGTCTAAAAACGATGTTGTGCTCGACGGCTAGTGAAATCCTCCTGTTTTCAGGGATGCGGTTCTGGGTACCGATGTTCATCTTCTGGCTACTGTTGCCCGCAATGTCCATCCGGTGCCGCCCCATTTGGATCGTGCTACGCGGGGCAATGCCCGTCTGGATATACCTGTCGTGCTGGAAATATTTGTTGTTGATAAAACTTGTTTTTTTCGCGGTTACGTCTCGCGAAAAATCACGGCCCGTCCAGATGGATGTTTTGGGATAGTTTCGACTCCGAGAAATGCAACGCGCTTTAAAATCTATAGTTCTATCTAATTCTATCAACGCGCGGAATCTAAAGCTAAAGAATCTAGCGTCTGGCCTTGCCGGACCTTTAACGACACCCGACGACGGCAAGCTGTTCAGCGGCTGATTTTCAAATTGTAGAAATCGATAGTGTCGGCGCTTTTACCAGTGTATTTACGGGGTATTCAGAGCGGTTTTTACTTGTAAAAAATGATACATTTAAATTTCGGCATCTTCAAGATGAATTTCGCCATTATGAATTTCGACTTTCTATAAAATCTTGTTCAACTTCCTTCAAAACATTTTTCTGTTTATTTTGATGGCATAGTGTTTATTTTGATGATCGCTTGCCCTCGGCCATTCCCCAAAAAAAACGTTCAATTCCCGAAGCATGCGGTTTACACGGTTTTGGCCAGCAATTGCACATTGTTCGTGTCTGCCCTCCTCGACAAATCCTTTCCAGCTGATAACGTTTTGATAACACACATTTTTGGGGGCAGTACGCCATCGACCCCAGACGCTACGGAAACATTGAACAAATCCTGCATCTGATGAAAATCTTTTCCGTTTTTCGATTTCGGTGCTTTCGCATTATCGGGGGAGGGGCTTTTCCTGGGGATCCCATTTTTTTGGAATGAATACAAGCAGTCTTTTTAAGTCGTTTTTTATTATTGTCAAGCGTTAAAACTTTCAAATTTCCCGACAGAACACAAAAAATTTCAAAATAGTTTGGAAAAATTTCGAATTTTTAGAAAGGGTTTTTTTACTCTACTTAAAAATTATCAATTCTAAAAAGTACTTTCGTTGACGGAACTGATTTGAGGACTAATTTAGAAATTCGCCCTCCCCCAATAACGACAAAGCACCCCGAATTGGCAGCTTTATATCTTCGTTTCGATATTTTTCTTTCTTATTTCGATTTTCTTTAAGGATTATGGGGCGGCCACAATCCAGTCTTGCCCTATTTTTGGGCTTGATTGGTTTGGTGGCTTCAGCGGTTGATGTGAATTCCCGCGTCGATTGCTACCCCGAGCCCGGGGCTTCGGAATCGTCCTGCAGACAGCGAGGCTGTAATTGGGATCCGGCTCCGGCGGTAGGTAGTGCTTTGAGCATTTTTCTGAGAAGAGCTGGCAGCCGCTCTCCCTTTAAAGCGTTGATGGCTGAGAGTTTGCCTTTATGTTTAGGGCTCACCGATCGGTACGCCGTATTGCTATTTCCCGCCAACCACGGGCTACAATGTCGTTAGTAACGATGGGAATGGAAATATTCAACTTGGTGAGTCAAGCGCCTAGAACGAAGCCTAAGCCTAAGCTTAAGCCTTGGCCTAAACCCAAGCCTAACCCTAAGCCCAAGCCTAAGCCTAGCCTCAGACCAAGTCTAAGCCCAAGCCTTACCTAAGCATAAGCGTCAGCCTAAGCCGAAGCGTAAGCCACAGCTCCATTCCAGCCAAAAATGACGGTCCCAAGAACCCGTTCGGCGACGACATCTCGCCGATCTCGCTGAAAATGTCCAAACTTGGTAATGCCATCCAATTATCCATCGGCACTGAAGGCCGGTAAACAACTATTTTTCTGCCCAATTCTCATTTCTTTAAGGTATACCCCGCCGTTAAATTTGCCAAAGCAACCCCCGGCCAACCAGGCCGAGCAGCTCAATTTTCAGGTTATTGGTTTGCATTTAAAAAAATTATTTAGGTTACTTCCAATGCCACTTTTGCATTTACCGTAACGCGTCAATCGACTGGAAGAGCGCTTTGGGATACGTCGATTGGTAAGGGATTTGTAGAAATCGGTTTTCGACCCTTTCGTGATGTTTCCGTTTGCTATGCTCAGCTTTATTTTAAACTTCTCCCATCTTTTAGGCGGCCTCCTCTTTGCCGACAAATACATCCAAATTGCCACGCTACTGCCGTCGGATCGCATTTTCGGCTTTGGCGAGCATGTGCACAAGAAGATGAAGGTATGAAAAACATAGCTTGTTGTCTATTTTGCGTATTAAAAACCAAAAAATATACGTTGTTTTAGCACGACATGACTCGATACACAACATGGCCAATGCTGGCGCGTGACATTGGCCCCGACAGTGGATCAGTGCTTTCCACCCAAAATCTCTACGGGACCCAGCCGTTCTATCTCTGTAGGTCACAATTTCGCGTCTCTCTTTTTCTCACTCTCACTCGCTCTCGCTCTCTCTCGCTGGATCTCTCTCATTCTCTCGCTCTGTCACCCTCTCTCTCGCAGCAGGTCGCTTTCCACAACCTTTGACTATACTTCAGGCGTGGAACCCGACGGCAAAAGCCATGGTGTGCTGATCATCAACAGCAATGCACAGGTTGGGAACGCGTCTAAATGGATCGAGCCGCCCACATTAAATTTTCTTATTTTCCAAAGTCCCGCCTTTCCAGGAAGCCACCCTTGGTCCAGCCCCCCACCTCATCTACCGTACGATTGGCGGCCAATTGGACATTGTCTTCTTCCCGGGACCTAAACCCGAAGATGTCGTTCAAGTCGGTTAAATATTTATTTCTATTTATTATTTTGCATAACTAACTGAACCTGCTGAATTCCAGGGCTTCCTCGCCTACATCGGCCGTCCATTCCTTCCGGCCTATTGGGCCCTCGGGTATCAGGTACTGGGTACTGTAGTTGAACAACACGTCCGTTAAGTTGTGCCGCTGGGGTTACGCGGATTTGGACGAGATGAAGGCGGTCATTGCCCGAAATCAGGCGGCCGGCATTCCACTTGACGTACCGTATGCGGACATTGACTATATGAGCCATTATGAGGATTTTACCGAGGGGGATGTGGGTTTTTTTGGTAAATAAAATATTTTAGCATTCTTCCTTATTTCAGGTACCATTTTCCAATTTTTACTCTAATTTTATTAATTTCATTTGTCTAGAAGTGGGCCGGGTTCCCGGACTACGCGAAGCAACTCCATACGCAGGGCCTGCATCTGATCCTGATCTTCGACCCGGCCATCGAGGTCGACTACGATTCTTTCCAAAGAGCCAGACAACAGGTGGGGGGTTTTAAGGGGCTTGGCAAGTCCTGGATGAGTCGACAATCGATTACGATATGTATCAGAATGCCTCCTTCATCGAGTGGCCGAGGTTTGAGCTTGTTCCACACCAGGTCCAGGACCAATATCCCATGGCCAAGGATACGAAGATTATGCTGGGTAAGTTTTAGGAGGATTGGCTATCTTCTCTCTCTCTCTCTCTCTCTCTCTCTCTCTCTTTCTCTATCTCATCTCTCTCCTTCCAGGAAATGTATGGCCCGAACGTAACACAGCCTTCCCCGACTTCCTCGACCCAACCAACATCACCAACAACTGGTGGACCGCGGAGTTTGCCCGCTTCCACAATACCGTAAGCTTCAAGCCTGAATCCAAGTCTACGCCATAAGCCTACGCCTAAGCCTACTTTTTTAGCTTGGCTTCGATGGCATCTGGATCGACATGAACGAGCCGTCAAACTTTGACACGAACGTCTATTCGTCGAATCGGATTGATGGCGAGGCACCGACGGGGGATAAGCTCGCTTGTCCCATATCCGGTATGCGCTTGGGTCAAGGAGGGCATGCTGGCCAAGATTCTTTGGGAAATTGAGGATTAAGTAACTGTAGTTTCTCTCAAGGATCGGTCGGATTCTCTCTCGAACCACTAAAAATTCAGGAGCCGACGGAAAACTGGATAACCCACCCTACCCAACGCAGGCAGTATATTTACAGTAGGTTTTCTACAGTAACCTGCGTTTTATTGTACTCCTTGATATACCCCAAAAAGAGTTGATGACGCTTTTCAGTATGGGCGAGTACTTGTGCTCGAAAACGTTATGTATGAATGGAAAGACGACGAGGGGTACGCAAGACTTCTACAATACGAAGGTAAAGGTTACGGTATTCTAAAATTATGCTTCTCACGGATCTAACAATGTTATTTTTGCGAATTTTTCCATTTCAGAACCTCTACGGGTGGTCCGAGGCTCGTGCCACGTCAGCAGCCCTTTCGGCGGCCACCGGAAAGCGTGGAGCCGTCATCTCACGGTTTGTCCGGTTCTCAGATGACACGACCCGACCGCTACGTGTCGAAGATGCTCAGAATTTATCACTAAGCTCTGTCCAAACCTCAATTTCAGCTCAACCTTCATCTCTTCCGGTCGTTATGCTGGCCATTGGCTCGGGGATAACACTGCCAGATGGGAGGACCTTCAGACCTCGGTCATTGGTGTGGATTTGCCTTCAATGGGCCTTTAAAATGGCTTTTCGCCAAAAATCGATACCTTAGCTTAAATTTTAAAACATCTGAACCGAAACTGAACGTAATTGACGATGCAAGGACTTTTTCAGGGGCGATGGAGTTCAACCTGTTCGGCATCCCCTACGTCGGATCGGATATTTGCGGGTTTAACGGTACGGAATAAAGCCGTTTTCGTCTATTTTATGTCCTAGGAAAAACGACAGAAGAGCTCTGCCTCCGCTGGCATCAAATGGGAGCCTTCCACTCGTTCTCCAGGAATCATAACACTCAGGTAACGCAAAGAAAAAAACGCGAAAAAATGACATTAATGTCAATTTACGAAATGCGGACTGTAGCTGAAAATTATATATAACCGTTTTCCAGGGAGACCCGGCACAAGATCCAGCCGTCTGGCCCTCCGTCGCGTTGGCGGCCAAGATTGCGCTAATGTTCCGCTATCAATACCTACCGTATCTTTACAGGTATTTCTTGGATGTTTTTCTAGAACTGCATTAATAAGATCCGTGGCTAGATTCTGTATTTTATGATATAGCCTATGTTTTGTAGCCTCCACTACCGCGCCTCCCTATTCGGAGCGACCGTCATCCGGCCACTATTCTTCGAATTTCCCACCGATTCCGAGACGTTCACCATCGACCGTCAATTCTTGTGGGGGTCGGCGTTGATGATTGCCCCGGCGCTGGATCCGGTAATTTTACTGAAATCCGGTAATAATCCCGACAGCCAGAGAAAAAGTTCGATTTGACGAAAAATCCGGATTTCGGCATTTTGGCCTCACCGCTTTCAGTGTGTCGGTATTTTGGCGTCTTCCCAATTCCGATATACCGTCTAACAATCGATCCTCGCCATTTCAGGGCGTCACAACCGTCCGCGCCTATTTCCCCTCGGATCGTTGGTATTCACTCCAGAATGAGACATATGGACAGCAGGTACGGGATGCTACCATTTCCACATGACAAACCGCTAGATGCCCGTCGGCTTCAACACCGTCCCAGCCCTCACCACGGCACTGACGCCCGTTTTTGTGAGGGGTAGGTTTTGGGTTTTGGCCTAGGCAGAAATTTAGGCTTCGTGCTCTTACAAAACAGCTAGAAAAATACAAACAGCTTTCGCATACGCGATCTCACATGCAAGACACGCTAAATTTACCAAATTTTTAAAAATAAATAAATACCCCCCGGCATATGCCAACTTTTGAGGCGGCTACATCCTCCCCCGCCAAGGCCCCGCCACAACCACCACCGCCGCCCGGAAGAACCCGTTCGAGATCCTGATCACTGTCGGTAAGGAGCAACACGTACTCCCCAAATTTGTCCCTTTTCCAGCCGGAAATGGCGGTTCTACCGGTGAACTCTATTATGATGACGGTGAATCGTTGTCCGACGATATCTTGAGCAATCCCCATTTCTACTTCAACTTTTCGTATTCGGCCACCGACGGTCAGGCGACAGTGAATATTGGGTGTAGCAGTCCGATGGAGGTGAGTTCAGGGGTTGAATAGCTTGAACTTGCGCTTAACGAGACTTCTAGACACTTTCGCATTATTTCGAATTTCCAGAGCCTCTATTTTTCTAATACAAAAAGAACAAGTGTTTCTAAACGCATTTTTAGCATACCTAAAAGTAAAAAAGTTTATAGTACGTTTCTAGTAAAATAAATAGCTTAGGTCCCCCGCTAATGCCAAAGCAACCACGAAATTTTTCGTCTAAGAAAAACATTCAGCTAACCCTTCCCACCCTTGACGTCATCGAAATCTTTGGCTACGCGTACACGCCTGACTACACGAGTTTCTACTGGAACGGCAACAAGGTCAGAACCAGGCCATGAAATTTATTTAACCACAATTTTTCTAGCTGAACGTGAACGTGCAGACGTCGTCGTACAACGCGCTGCGCCGAATTTTGACGCTGCGCACGGTGGGGCTGATCGATCTGAATGTCGCCGCGCAACGCACCAACAACGTCCTCACGTGGACGCATAAGAAGAATTAGATACTGAAGAAATTGGATGGGAATTTTGGGGCGAATAAATTAAAAGCTACTACGCTTAATACCCATTGACGCACAGTTATAAGAAGCAAAAAAAAAACGGCTTAAAATTAACTAATTTGCATCCGCCGCCAATTGATTACGACAGATAATTTTCAACGAAAACCGAATCATTGCCATCGTCCGATGCGCGAGCAGGGTTTCTACCATCAGGTACTTCCGCTTTCTCCCTACACCATATGCAAATTATGTTAAGGCGGACTCGCCGGGCAAGGCGCCTCACTTTGAAGGCGTCTGGAAGGAGATTGAGAAGCAGAAGGCGATCATGATCAACGATCGATCAGCGGCTCGTCGCCCAGCCCGTCCCGGCACCACCTCGTCAGTGGCTAACGAGCAGAGATCCTTCAGGAATTTCTCAAGGAAATCCCGTGTTTAGCCAGCTCGACCCGATGGTGTGGCGCGTGTGTGCTGGTAACGAGATGGCACGCACTGATCCGGGTAGCCCCAAACACGCTGCCACAACCTCGGCAAGTCCAGGGCCCGACACGTCTCGGAAAGCGGAAGGGGAGGACGAGAAGGAGAGCGCCTCGGAAGCCACTTCCGGACGGTCTTTGCAGAGTGACTATGAGGTTGTTTCAATGGGCGGTTCTTGCGCGTTATCGGGGGGGGGGGAGGGAAGGGGCAGATGGGCCTGTAGGCGTAGGCTTAGTAGACTTATTCCACTATCTTCAGGAAACCGACTCGCCGCTCCACTCCGAGCGCGCTTCGATGCTGCGTGAGCGTCAACGTGCCCGACAGCGTCTCCCCTCCCAATACTCATCTACCGCTTCGGCATCAATTTCGGCGAGTGCCGCCACGTCCCCCTCGACCCCGCCGAGCAGCACCGGCTCCGTGTCGCTGACTGAGGAAGTGGTGCGTGCAATATCTATTGCTCAAGCAACGTCTTTGAAAACTTTCAGAGCAACCCGGTCAGCTACCCGGTCAGCAACTCGGTCAGCAAGTGCTCATCTTCGGGTAACATCTACGAGCAGGGAGCTGCACCTTCGCAGCAGCAGGAGGACCCGATGGAGTACGGTATCAGATGAGAGAGAGAGAAAGAGAGAGAGAGAGAGAGAGAGAGAGAAACGCGCCAAATTCCGATTGTTTTCAGCCGCTACAAGCTGTGCAACTGCGAGCGTCTGGAGACGACCGGTGTCGGCGCCTACGTCAGTCGATCCATCGAAGAATACTCGGGCATCAGGGGTAAATTTCCTGTACTTGTTCAAGATGTCGGCATCGAACTTTCAGCCCCGCTGGAGATGTACATGCGTCAACGGCCCGTCACCTCGCCCACCATCTCGGAGATCATCTCCAGGACCACGGCATCATCTGCCTCCCAGCAGAGCCTTGTTGCCACCCCCTCCACCCCGAAGCAGCAGCAGCAGCAAGTTCAGCCACAGGTGGGATAACTTCTCAAGATCTCAAGTGTATCTGTAGAACACGACCACATCATCAGCTTCGGGCACGAAGAATGCTGTGAATACGACCGGCCCGGTGATGAAGATCGCCAGTCTGACCAATTTGGCCAAGGGCAAGCCAGCTTTGGGATTCTAAGCAGAAGCCTAAATGAGCACAACCCTGATCCAACAAGGTATATCCAAATTTTTTAGGTTCCGATGCCACTCGGTCGCCCGTCTCGCCGCAGACGCCCCTAGAAGCACTTCCTGCCGATAAATGCGCTTCCGCTCTGCCGGTAGATGATATTTGGAAAATAGCTAAAATACCGACACGATACTATACTATTTCCGGATGTTCCCGATTCCAGCCCTCCGCCACCACCAGCACTCCGTCGATGACCTGGCTGCAAGTGGAGCTGCGTTGTTGGCTGGGACTATTGCTGTTCGTGTTCATCGTCTACCTCTACCACATGTGGCTGCCCGAGACCCGTGTCTGCCCCTCCATCAACACCTAGCAGTCCACTTACAATCCACGAATAGTGATTAACTCTCTCGTTTCCATATCCGCCCCCATCCCATTTAATCCGTCCAATTATTCGCCCCCTTGCAAGGGTTTTCGTATTCCTTCGTGCTACTGTCGTTTTGATGTCGAGCCCCGGGGGTTGCCCCTCCTAATAAAGCATTCGTGGTTTGAAATGAAGCGGAGCCGCGAGTCAGTCATTTTGTTGGTGCTCAATTAATTCGGTGACCAATAGGGTTGGGTTTTGGCGCAACCGGTTTCCGATCGATCGCTTTGCATATCCTAAACGATTAAATCGTTGGACGAAAACCGGTTTCCGGCATCGAACCGATTTAAATCGGTTCACGAGGCAAAACCGGTTTTTGCCAGGCTCGGAAATCGGTTCGGGGTAAAAAACCGGTTTTTCCACGATTCGGTCCCGGAAGTGAAACCGGTCTTGATGCAAATCCCCAGCACACTTATTATTCAAATTGCGGTAATGTAAAGCCTCAAATTTCATAAATTTTTGGGAATCGAGTTCTGTCTTAGCTTGTTAGCAATGTATGGTCTCAGAGACAAGCGATTAGGACGTCATATTAAACGCTGGCGAGCCTGGAGCGCTTCAAAATGATCGAGTACAATCTAAGGCTATCAGTAACAGTCGGGTCCGCGTGTGAAAGCGGGAAAATACCTTGCCTATCTAGAACTGTGACCGAAAAGACAATCGTAAACGACTGGTAAAGCCCGAACAATCAAGTAGCAATGACGCTGTCTGAGTTTATTAGAATTAATATTATTTGCATAAAGACCGATTTCACTTCCGGGACCGAATCGTGAAAAACCGGTTTTTTTACTCCGAACCGATTTCCGAGCCTGGCAAAAACCGGTTTTGCCTCGTGAACCGATTTAAATCGGTTCGATGCCGGAAACCGGTTTTCGTCCAACGATTTAATCGTTTAGGATATGCAAAGCGATCGATCGGAAACCGGTTGCGCCAAAACCCAACCCTAGTGACCAAGCACATTTGCTGAAGGAGATATCTCCCCGGTGGTTTATGGCTTTCACCTCAATTTATGCGGCTTTCTAGCGCTGCTGATTCAGTAGTGAAATGCTTTGTTCATCGCCTTTATAACCTGCCTACCTGTTGGTAGTAAATAGTGTATTTTATGATGTTTTTTTGTAGTGTTTACTCGAGAGTTATCAAAAATGTTTTTAGTCGAAAAATCGAAAAATCTAAATCTTTTACCTTTTTGTTCCTTCTTTTATAAATTTTTACCAAAGCTAAGAGTCTACTTTCTGGTCGAGGGTTTGCAACACGTTGTAATCGTCTTAATAGCCCACCCATTCAGATAAATGCTTTATTTTGCAAACAAATGACAATGATAATCCTACGTCAGGTACATGAGTGGGGGAGGGCAATATACCAGTGGCGCCGGGTATAGCAGATATCGCAAAGAAAAGAATGGGAAACCAATTGTGATCACCGAGTGAAGGGCGGATACCAGAGGATTAGAAAGCAACACAAACACAATGACAATCAAACGCTCAGAGTTTGGCCAAAAGGACGAGAAGAGAGTTCGCAGCCTTCGGGCGGATCGGCGGGTCACGAAACTCGCCGCGGTAGTCGCTGTACTTAACCCGCGAAATCTGAAAGTAATTTGATATTGATAAGTAGTAAATATAAAAGATGATAGGCAATATTCGAGAAAATTTAACGAGCTTAAAACGCGCGTGAAACCCTTGAAATAGCTTTTGACAAGCCCGAGAAACAGACCACTTGGCGAAAATGTTGGTGGTAGAGCGGCTGCACGCCCTCCGACGTGCACACGGTGAATGCCGAATCGCAGCGATCGCTCGAGTTGCGCGCAGAGTCGAGACTAAAGCCGAATGCTGAAACCCTTGAAGCCGTTGCCTACCTCTCATTGAGAAGCCTCTTTCCGAGTCCACCCTTTTGGTACTCGGGCTTCACCCCGACCAGCACCACGAATACGGGCTTTGAAACGCCGGCCTCCTCCAGGTGATAAGCCACGTCGACCCTGAAAGATACTTTTGAAAATACCTGAAGAAGGCTTCCTTTTATATAAAATGATATGAACTGACATACCTATTAAAAACATATTTCAAAAATTCGACGGCAATCGACAGGCCCTTGTCCGTGAAGGAGTAGCGGCAAAGACGATCCAACTAGAAGCAATATTCATAAAAGCAAAGAACCTAACCTGTTGATCGAATAGATGATGGCGACTGGCCAGGCAGACGCCGATGACCTGGATTGATCGTTATATGGAAAAATTATTCCTGAAATACCTCGTTTCGTGTCTCATCTCTGGCCACCACCGTCCCTGGACAACTCAGGGAATCCGAAACGAGATCGTCGAGTAACCGAGAGAGCTCCTCCCTAAAAGGCACTCATCAAATGCAGATCTCGCTGCACCTACCGGTTAGAAACTTGAAGACTAGCCAGAATCGGTTCATTTGGCACAAAGTGGTCTATTAAAAAGTTGACGATTGCGGGGAGATCTGACGACGAGGGCCGGCAGATCGGCGTTGCTGAACAAACAAAGTCGGTTTTATTCTTTCCTTTCTCATTTTGAATGTTCAAGCGGGTCGGATAGAATTTCTATCCGGCTCTTTCACAATGTCGGGGGAGGGAAAGGAAAATGTATCACACCAGCGCTGACCCCCCCGCTACGCGGGGGTTCAGCGCTGGCCCTCCTCCGCCCAGAAATTTGAAATTTGAATTTGAATGCGGAATTTGGCTGAATTCGTGTACGGACGGGCGGACGGACATTAGAAATTTATATATAGTAGATTAGTAAAATTTAAATATATTCCAAGCTCAAAAACTCTCTAAAAACGTGGAAATTTTTATTATCTATCCTTAGTTTGGTATTATTTTTAAACAAAAGTTTGTAGGAATTTTACGTTTAGTCTAGTAAAAAAGCTATCCCGAGAACCCCCCCCCCCCCGATAATGCGAAAGCACCTTCTATCCGTGTCTTTTCCCCCTTTGTATCGCCCACTTACCGGAAATTTTGTTGGCCAGCTCGGGGGTGGGTAGGGTTGAGGAGGAGAGCTCGCCAGAGGTAGTTGGGGATGATAGAGCCAATGAAGCCGCCGCCATTCGCTGAAACGACCGCTATGCATCGAACGAGTCGAGGGGTTGGCCCCGCTGGTTCAGGCTAGTAGGCAAAATATAGTTAGTGCCCAGGGTTCCTCGGCTTGCAAAAAATTGGTATTACCAAAACTGGTAAGCAAAACAAAACTGGGCGCAAGGCAATGAAAGGAAAGATCGGTTGGTACGAAACAAGCACATGCTCAACATCTCCGTCGGCGCAGGTTTTTTAAACCCTGGAGACTGGCCGACGAAAATTGCGCACCGATCGTTTTCGCCATTTCGGGCCAACCCCAGAAATAATGCACCGGAAGTGAGGTAGAAAGGGACAGAGAGGGCGGAAAGCATACACACGCATGGGTGGCGCTACTTGAAAGTGGCCCGAATATGGAGGGAAGTACCGTGGAAGAAATCCACTTGAAACTCAACACCAAGTATGGAATATTTATCAAAGAAAGGGGACCGATGTCGGGTCGACTGGATTTGAATGGGTATCTATGCGGCAACTAGAAGCACTAATAGATCCTCTGAAATCCCGATTGACGATAAAAACCATTGCTGACCCGACAGGAGCCCGATCGATGACCAATTTTACGCCCAACAATTCTTGGAGACGGTATTTTTCCCGATAGCCTACCAGACTAGTAGCCACCCGAAATGGCGCGTGAATAATGAAAGTGGTGCAGAGACAGTTATGAAAATTTAGTGTTAGGAAAGGGGGGTTCTGGGCTGTTAGCGGGGGCGAGTATAACCTTGGTCAAGACGCGTGTTCATCAAATAGGCAAAGCTTTTTATGGTCGTTTTTAACTATAGAAAGATTTAGATTTTTGGTATAAATTCTACGAAAATGGTGTTTCGATTTCCAACGTTTCCAAACATTTTTAGTTATTTTTAGTAAACAAAGACTCCTAAAAATACTTGGAAATGCAGAGAAAAACGCTTAAAAAATTGTTAGATAGGTATAGACAGCTAGAAAGCCCCCCCCGCTAATAGTAAAAGCCGAGAAGCACCGAAAGCAATATTCGAAATCCCGAAATCTCTGAATAACATCAGGCAAGTAAGCATACGCCTACCAACAACAAAAGTTGGGCGCAATTCAGAAGATAGAGAATTAGGCAGACGTGATCAAATGACCCCCCCCCCCAATCACTTCAGGGAAAATTGATTCGGTCACGCCGAAAAAGCGCAGACCATAAAGATAGTGCCCCGTTTAGCGTTTGCAGGCCCTCGGCGCCGAATGAGCCGTGTGAGAGCGCATTTCGAATTCATCGCCGGGGCTCAGCTGGGCCCCTGAGAATGCGAGGAGGGCCCTCGGCCATCAACTCTACGGCGTTAAATGGGGGTGGCTGCGTCCGGGGATTAAAGGAACCGTCAACGCGCGTTTACGACCCTTTTACCTACCGCTGGATTTCGCGAAAATAAGCATGATCGAGTGGTTAATAGTATTTTCGGCGCTTTTTAGATAAAAATTTAACATAATTTTCGAAAAACTTTTGGTCAAAAATGTGTCAAATAGTAAAAATTTTAAATCTTTCTAATTAAAATTCGAAGCGCTACACTTATCAATGGCTATGGGACCACAAACGAAAACGATTCACAAAAGGCAAAAATAAACACATTAAAATTAAGCGACAGAGAAAGGGGTCGGGATGCCAGAAACCAAATTCAACCCGAAACCCCGCCCTTTTCTGAACCTCTTCAAGTCGCCGTTGTTGTCGCTTCGGGTTGGCGAAAAAGTAGGATATGATGTTCTCGAAGCGCCAGTTCATCATCGTATATCCGAGACCGGGGGACAGCCCCAGACGGGCGCGTGCCGTTTGGGTTGTCGGATGCCTGTGAATTCAGTTGTTCATTTATTGGAGTTGAGCGAGATATAGAACTGTAATGAAATATGCGGGATTGGGCGGCGATATATTTTTTTAAGTTCAACAGATTGCAGGGCGCGTTTGCGAAATGATGTGGCGAGTCTGTGGCATAATTGATGGTTTGGGTTGTAGTCTAGTATAATATCCACTCTCATCAGAAAACCTCAAATATAGCAAAAATTTGCCCATCGCACAGGTAAAATATAGGTACAATTTTGCTGCGATTCACTAAAATAATTAAGGAAAGTATGCTAAAAAATAAGACAGCTTACTTTTATTAAGCCACAAAAGTCAAGCCCTCCTATTAGAATTGCCCGCCTAAAAAAGGCCCAGACCGTCCCGGCAAAAGCCAATGAAATCAGAGAGCCCCGTGAGATTCCCAAGAAAGCCAAGACGAAGAAGAAGCCGAAAAAAAAATCGGTTTGCTAGCTGGTCGCCCCAGCCGCGCACGAATCAATTTCCTACCCCTGGCAACAGCGTATATGCATACGGAGAGCCGGCGGGGGCTGGCGGGCCGGAAAACGACGAGACGCCGCACAACTCAAAGCAAAGAGACCCAAAGACAAGGGCCCACTGGGCCCCCAGAGGGCACACACGAGCATGGCCAAAGGAAGGGACCCACAAGCACTGCCCCCCCCCCCCCCCCTTTGCGGTAATTACCAGGGCTACTTGAAGAGGGTGCAGAGAAGAGGCGGGGAGGAGGAGGACGACTAGATAGAATCCCGGAATCCCGTCATCGGCTCTGCCCTCCACCCACATCAAAAACCCCTCCTTTTCCACCCAAATGCTCTGAATGGCTCGTAATCCAGGAGAGAAATGTCCGCGATAGAATTGCACTAAAGGTGTGCCGTGTCCCACCCGCTAATCCGTTGCTTTTTGTTATGGAGCAGATGAATCTATCTGTAGTCCCGGCTAGACGCTTATCGCAATTATAAAGCAGGGGTTGGAACAGGTAATTAATTCCCGGTCGAAAGGCGTTAATTTTAAGTTAGGACTGCCAAAAAACCAAGGCTGTAGATTTTCTAGACAGTTCTAAATGTCCACTTCTGTACTGCTAACTTGAGATACCATCTAATAATTCCTTTCACAAAAATGCTACAATCCAGCAAGTCGTTTTTAGGTGTTTTTTTAGAGTTTTGCAATGTCCCATGGGACGTCCGATAGAGCTTGAAATTCTGAACACGTGCCATCTCTCAAAAACTGCTTAACGGTTACCGTGTTTACAAAATTGGCTCTGAAGGGGTCATCTGTCCGCTTTTTTCCGTCCCCGCGTAACAAAATGCAAGCTTTGATTCGCAGTTTCACCGATACCGTTGTCTTTCAGCAGCTTTTGACAGTAAGCTCATGCTCATAGCTTCCAGCTCTAACCAGGGCGCTATGTCAGATCACGAAACTCCAAATACCACCGAAAAACGACTTCTCTTTAGATCGACGTGGAAATTTGCCTGAAATAGGAGCCACCCCTGGCAAAGGGCCAAAAGACGGATTCAGCCGTTTCCCAAGAGGGGGGATTTGAAGCGGGGATGTGGCCATTGAAGCTTGAAAACTGACCCGAGTGTCGCCTATTTGCGCAACGGGAGGGCCCCCCGCCGAGAAGTGGCGCTGGACCAGCAGCATTCGCTACTCCGAAAATACTCGCAGTCAAACAGAGCCGCCAGTGGATGGATGGACATGGGACTCGGGGCACCTGATCCCCACCGAGAACGACAGCCAGGTACTGGACTGTTAGCGGGGGGGGGTGATGGGCAGCGGGGGAAACTTATTAAAATCCCCTCAAAATTCTCCAAAATCTAAATTCTTCTCTATTGGGGTTGTAAGAAACCTTTATAAGTAAAAAATAAAAACTGTAAAATTCCGAAAAAGTTTTTGCTCAAAAAAACTTCAACCTTTCCTTCGATAAAAGCAATATCAACAAAGGTAGATACGCGATATTACCCGATCATGTAGAGATCACTTATGTAAGACGTATAAAAAACAGTACAAGTTTAAATATCGGATCGACCAAAAGACCAAACATTCGCTCAGCTAACAAGCCGTTCGAGCCCGACAAACAAATCAGCCAAAGAATTTATAGACAGCACCCGTATAACAATTTACCACAACGTAGAATGTGTACACAAAGAAGAGACATGGTTAAGGGATCAGTAGATACATGCAAGAGGAAACCGGGCTGAATCTACCTTCTTCTTCTCACAGTCTACCAGCGGTCAGTGCTCAATTCTCGTCAAACCGGGCACGGATCATCGTAGTCAAAATCGGAGGACGAGCTCGAGCTGGAAAAAAAGAGTTATTAAAACGGTTTCTATTGAAAAAAGTTAAATGCATTGAAAATGCGGGATTTGAGGGGGTACGATGGTACCTTTAACTTGAGAAAAGTGGTTCTGGTCCGTTAGCGGGAAGGGGGGGGGGGGTATTTTTTGTCGCTGGTTTCTCGTTAACCCCGCTATTTTAGTTTACATCCCAGAGAAACGTCGGCGAGACACATGAGCTGCTTCAAAGCCATGGCGGAACCGCCGAAAATATGGACGGGCCCCGGCTCAATAAGCCCGCCTAAACAGCCCCTATTCAAAAGAGGCAATAAACCCGTCCATGGCACAGCCACACGCAAACAAATGGCGCCACAGCCAGCCGCACCAAACACAGCTCTACTGAATCGGCGGCCCGAACAAGATTTGCCAAATCCGAAAATGCACACTGTCGATGAGTCGGTAGAAGAAAACGCCAAAATCAGGACACCGAAAATACCCGACATAAGAAAAGCCCTCCATGCAAAAATCCCGACAGCCAAAGCCCAGCAGGAGAAACTAAAGCTAAAGTCCCGACATGCAAAACCGCTATTGTATAAAAATAAATTAAAACACTAGCGTTTAGGAGGTAAAGACTGGATGGATTTTGGATTCCCGTCAATCAGACTCGCCTCTGACTCCATTCCAAACTGACTTTGCTGAGTTTGCGTCGTGTCGGGATTTTGGCTCTCGAGATTATGGTTTGTTCGGATTTTGGCTGTCGCGATCATGATTAGGGTAGAAGTAAGAGGATGAGTCAAAACTTTTCCCCGCGTGAAATTGAATCGGCCCCTTTCGACAGCGGTGACTTCGAAGCCGGGCATGGAAGTCCCATGGGATTCGATGAACTATACAGCGCAAATTAAGTTATAAGAACAATTAGGAGGAGTTTGCATGAGCATGTTTTCGTATCGCCAGACATTTCGAGCGCCGGCGCCCTAAAAAGGGCGCCCGTTTTCGAAGTGACTACAGACTGGTGGCTATAGACAGCTGGTTGGGCGGCTAGTTTCTTGAAACGGGATGGATGGGCCATCCCCACCCAAGGCCAATGGAAGGGGGGAGTGGTTGGAGGTCGAGGGGAGGCCGACGGCGGCAAGTGCTTTTTCAAAAAGCGAAAAAGCGCTCTTCAGAATGGGGGTAGAGGGGCATGGGAGGCATTTAAGGGCTTCCTAGTGTTTATGGGCTTACGAAGGGCCCCATGAGCACCCTCCTTCACTGGCCTAACGGGGGAACCTTATGATGGATGGCACGAGGGCCCAGTCATTGCTCTTTTCATCGTCCCTCATGTTAACCACGAGAAAAAGTGAGCGGTACACCGCGTTCTACTTCCAATCGGATGCGCCGTTCCTAGGAACCTTCTCCACAATCTTGACACTCCCAATATCGAAAATGCCTAAAACCAAAAACTCCATAACTCAAAGTAGCTCCTGGAAACAAATCGTTTCCAATATTTTCGGTAGTAGGAATTTGATAAAGCACGGCCCAATACTTGTTGCGGGATTGAAAGAATTCGGGTTTAAGAATTTTCGAGATAGCGTACTTTGGCGATTGGAAATTCCAGACAAAGAATGCATGATACCAGGTCTTAGATTAAATATCCCTGATGAAACATTGCCCCAAGAAGCAGACGAAGCACTGTCCTCTCCAACACACAAAAAAATAGTGTAATTAAGTGTCCGTGCAATCTCGCGTCCGCCAATTTCCGTCTAGATTAACGCCTTTTTCCCAATGACCACCGGGTTGACGGTTTATGGACGGAAATTAACCAGAAGAAAACGCAAAGCCATAGCTCCCCCGGGCAAAAAACCCATAAATTTTATAAGCTACGTCAGACGCAATCGGTGTGCGAGCCGGGCCCGCCTGCAATTTCCTTTTTTTTGGCAGGGAGAGAATTGGGCGTTTGGAGCAGACTGTTTTCAGAAACGACCGAGACCAGTCAGAAAAGCAAAAAACCAAGGCTGGGGAGCCCCCTGTTCTTAAATGGTTCTTGTTCGTTATCGGGGGGATTATAATCCTTCATTTAGCCTAACCTCCATCGTAATAAGATAAGACATTTTCGTAGCGTTTTAGCGGCGCTCGTTTACTAAAAAAATGTAAAAATCAAAAATGAAAAACTACTTTTTTACCATTTTCTACTACTTCGGCAAAAAAGTAATAAAAGTCTTTTTATACCTGAAAACGCGCAAACCGCCATTAACTACTTGCATCACTTGTCGCATACCGGGTGAACATCTCAAAAATCTACCCCCTCCCCCGATAAGGAACCAGAACTGGAGGTAGCTTGGCTTCAAGTGACGAGGAAAACACCACCAAAAATGGGTATGTGCCGTCCCTTGAAAATAGAGCCAGGGAAATAAATTGGAAAACAGGAGGTGGCATCAAAAGTACAGCCCCCCGATGGGCGCTGTTTTTTGGGCAGGGCGGTAAGACGATGATGTCTCGTCGGCGACGACGAGAAGACAGCTCATTTCATTATCGAAATGGGGGTGGGGGGGCAGAGCGCATCTCGTGTCGACCGATTCAATTTACAATTCGCCTTCTTTGGGCCCATGGGTCCCCGGGGGCGGCGGCGGCAGTCCGAAACCAGTGACTGGCCGCTGGAGATGGCCTATCAGCCATTCCAACACGCGGCCACTCATGAAGCGGCAGCGCGGCGATTTGTAGCTATAGAGTCCGGGATAGCCGGGGCTCGCCCAGGATCCTCGGGACGGAAATACCGCCTTATATTGCCTACCGAAAATGTAGCCGATTTCGGGAATCGTGGGGGGAGGGGGGGGGAGGGGGGCACCGAGGCGCAAATCCGGACTTGTAGTAACCTGACCTTGCCTTGTGATTTAAATGACAGGTCAAGCGAGGATATTGTAGCTCACGTTGTCAGGGCAATTCTTACTGGTATTAACACGATACAGCGGCTTCGCTAAAGCTGAGGAATCTCAGCAGCCCCCATTGCTTGCAAATACGAAAACAACGGTGCTTATCTTTTATCCGGGGGGGGCGGTCGGGGTTTTTCAATGACCGTATGTCGCGAATAGTGGAATTTGGACTAGACTATGCATGCTAGTTTTAGAGAATTCTACGCTGCCTTTAAGGACAAAAAAAAACGGAAGAATTTCTTGGCTCTTGGTCTGCAATATAAAAAAATGGCCAAAAATGATCCAAACATTTAAGTTTAAAATCTACAGGAACTTCGCGACTTTTCTTATTGAGAAACTACTAGAACACGATTCAAATTAAATTAAAATTATTAGAATTAAAAACCGGGAAGTAGAGACTTATCGAGGAGAGCTCGACGCAAGTCCGATTCCCCCGAAAATTCTAGGCGAGCCGGATATCAAGAGACGGCTGTAGGCCCACGGGAAATGAACCATCGGGGGGCGAAAGTCCCGCCCGGGAAAACGGAAGCCCTATGGCCGGATGAGAACAATTTCCGGTGGCCATCTACCGGCCGGATTGCGGGCTGGCCCCGGGGGAATTATGACCGTGCTCTTCGCCGAGGAACCCAGTAAATCCCCTCATTAAATCTGTATTTAGGCGAACAGATGAGTTTCAGGGTTTACACTAGGGTTGGCCTTATTCAAAACAAAGTTACCCTCAACAAACCGAGGAATCGGTTGGGCATACGAGTCTCATTCAAAATTTTATTGAGTTCAAGCATGATGAAATTCTCAGATTTGAGGGTGGCTTTGATTTGAATAAGATCAGTTCTAGATTACACAAATGGGGCGCAATCTTTATTCTCAAGTATGCTGCGGTGAGATGAAGCTGGCCCGAAACTCAACTGGTGGCCCTTCTTTGACAAGAACAATAGGGCAGCAGTGCCACTGCGGGCTTTCGCCGCTAAGGAATTCCTTCCTCGGGTCCAAGGCTCCCGCCGAAAACCCCGAGCTTGTTGCCTACATGATCAGCTATGCGTTTCTACGGCTAGGGTGGCCCCCCTCGACGATGTCTTGCGAATAAGCAAACAACCTTCGCTACTTCGAATACCCGCCACCCCTCCCGCTATTGAAGAAACGTTAAGACAAAAATAGCCGTCGCTAAAACACTGCAAACTTGCCGGGTTTCAGCGCGTGTTTTGAAGGGCTGAGACGGATTAGGGGAGAAGCAATACACTGGAAATACCAAGTAATACAAAACTAAACATTCGCAGTAGCCTCAAAATTCGCAAAACTACTCGCAACGTATGAACAACACACAAATTATTGCTGTCTCAAGGCGTGGTGTTAACGAAAACACAATTAACAGCCCAGCACGCCCAAATGCTTGGGTCGACAAAGCGATGGCGCCCATGTCTATTTCTAAATTCCTTGCCGTCCCCCCGTCAAATAATTGGAGACACAACCCGAGCCACCGGGGAGCCCAGATTATCCAAGACCGCGGAATTGATGTCTAGAGGGCGAGAGAGCCTTAATTACTTTCCAGGAAACGGCAAGTCCTTTCGGCAAGTGGGTGGTGCAGGATTATACATGCCTAATTATCCGTCCATAAATATACCTTCCAGGGCGAGGTTTCGCAACAAGACCCGGGTCATCATCATCAGAGAGGCTCATTTCGACGATTGCTGAAAAGAGAGCCTTTATAGAATCGCAGTCAGATTTTGGTACCAAAACACCAATGTCTGGATACTGGCTCTAGGGTTTATGGCTCAAAGTAAAAAAAAAATACCAGGCTCTTCTTCATCGTCGTGTTCGCCGGCACTTTCGGACTCTGACTCTGCTCGCTCCCTTCTTCGACCTGCCGCCACCGTCGATTCGCCGTGTTGATCTTCCGCTTCCGCCTCATCATCTTCTGATGGCAATGGCCGGCTGACTACGGCATCCAAGTTTGGGCAATCTTGCCTTGCTCGGAGCGCTGCTTTAGGCTTTCGAGCTAGCTGTTCCGACTTCGCGCCAGAATTAATCTCCTTCCGATTACTAAAATCAGCGTCAATCCAAGCTCAAAAGCCAGCTCTCACATCACTTCACCGTCCCTAATCGCACACAATGTTCGGGCCAATCCACCAGCGGTTAAGGGTCGATCACAGGGGTCTTCAAAGCACAGCCAACTGGAAAAAAAATGGATATACACCAAACAAATTGCATACAATCTGGTGAGCTCCGAATCCCTTATGGGTACTTCGTTATCGAGTAGTCGCTGAACAAGGTCGGTTATCGGTTTTGCCTTGAGGGCTTCAGGGCTGCAGACGCGCAAACATAACGCCAACACCCATAGCTCCTTTTCAGATGAGCAGCCATCCTGAATAACGGGGTTTAGAAGATGGAAATAATCAACACCTCACCATTTGCCTTCTTGCAATCGACGCAACAGCCCCATCGACAAGCCGATAAATGGCATTTATGATGGCCTTCTCATCGCTGGATACGCCCAATTCGGAAAGTACACCAAGCAGCGGGACAATCGCCTCCATTGTAATGCACTAAAATAAGGATAGAATCAAATATCCCCCCAATGATCCGCACCTCTTCCAACAGGCTGTCGACCAAACGTTGATGGACCCGGGTCATCTAAAAAAAACCAATTTTAGAAACGAATGAGCCATCCATACGAAGTAGAACTTGGATAGTACGTGCAGGAACCTATCCACAAATGGAGAATCGACTAGCACGGCTAGAAAGGCTGGATCAAGCGAAAATTTTACAGACGTACTTGTTTCCGAGTGTTCTTGAAAGATCTTCTGGATGTTTGAGGTTGCGCCAATAAACGAAAATCGGCAATGAAGAGCCCGATAGTGGAAGTAGAGGCATTTCAGGACATCCCTAAAGTATGAATCCTCAAGGTGCGATATAAGGAAAAGCCATTGCACGCATTAAAAAAAGGGTTGAAAAAGCCAGAAATAAAGGCGATATCGAGAATATTCTTGAAACTGCTGCATGCCCAACGCGGACCGGAAAGTCAAGGAACGAAAAAACTGGTTACCAACCGTTTGGCCAATAAGAGTCCCCGTTGGTTCCACGGGTCGCCAAGCAGCGGTAGAACACGAATCGAAGCCGCGTAGAGCTCATCCGCAGCGCTCAAATTCCCCTAGGGAAATTACGCTAGACTACAAGCTCGTTACCTTGTATCTCATCACGTCACCCACGCGCAGGCAGGTAAACGACTCGAATTTGCGCGACCGTATCCGAGAAAGCGTTTGGGGTCCGGAGTTGTACATCGAATCGAGGGCCCTAGAAAGTTTTGGAGCTTGTAAAAAATTAAATTCAGCAGACTTTAAAAACGCCGGGGCTGCCTCAAAGGTGAATGCGCAACCCGATTGAACTAAAAGCGCCAGATCGACGAACCATGATAGAGACATATTGCAGGCATTGATTCCATTCTAAAAAGGAGGTTTGCTCTTAGTAACCCGAAGCAGCCTACGTATTTGACTGTGGTCATGTCATTGGAGCCTTTAGATACGGAGTCGATCATCTCCTTGGCCATCTTCCACAACTTTTGCTCGAGATGAGCCGTCAACGCTTCATTGACATTACGGTGAAACGCTTCCAAAATCAGCTAAATGCACTGAATTGGTTTTTCAAGAGTCACACCTCAACCGACGGTAGTATATAAAACCGTTCTTTGTTTACAGCGTCTCTACGAAGGTCGAGCTGTCGAAGTTTGGTGTGGATTCCCGACAGTCCATTCTGGGTATCCATCTGAAAAACACCATGTCAAAAATCTAGTGTTCTGTTTTCAAGGATGTTTTCGATGCTCATAACTCTTCATCACCATAGATTTTCAAATATTCCTAACCTCTCGGTAATGCAAAACCGCGCGTGCCAACCGGTGTGCCGTATCCAGAGTTTTGTCTGATAAAATGTTTATAACATTAAATGGAAGCGTGTTAGAGCACTGGGAAGCAGAACAATAAAAGGTGGTGGCCCAAAACTTAGGGGTCACAATGTGGACAGCTTGGTCGTTTGGTGGGAGATGTTAGTGGGTGGGGATGTTTGGGGGAAAGTTATCGAACAGAAGTGCGTCCAGCACAAAACCTTGTGGCGGTAGTGCTCTGGTTCGACGCTGCACAGAAAACAAGCCCAGGATAAGAGTTCAACATAATTGGGCGGTATTAACAATTACGAGAAAGGGGGGGGGGGTCAAAAGGAGAGAGATGATCACACAGATTTCACAGGTTATTCTCACAAACCCATTGCCCACAATCCAATCAATGGCTGAAGCTGGGTGGGGGTATGATATCACAAATAGGCACGAACAATGTGCCACAAGCTTGTGTGAAATGGTAATGGATAATTAGATCAGCAACGAAGAGAACACGGCCGAATCAACCCTCATCAGTCCAGGAAGCTGGCAGCTGCGTCTAAATGAAGGGTTTTCCACGATAATGAAAAGCGAATAGCCCCGGCGATTGGAAAATTCCGAAAAGTGCGTATTCTGAGCAAGTGACTACCCAAATAGTTCGGGTAGCCGACTTACATGTAGCACTTCATGTTTTGCATTGCGACAGAAGGCTTCTCGAAATTGTCATGTTCCTTACGCTTGCTCCAGAATTCGATACTCGTTGTGTGAAGAAGTGGTTCCGAGGCGGATCGGGTCAATTTCGGCAACGCGATTTCCTGCAGGCTATCACTGACCTAAACGGAACAAATCATGTTATTAAATATTACGCATACATCGTTGAACCCAGGGCGGTCATTGCGATCGAATTTTATACATCGGTCCATCAACTCCTTCAACGCTCTGGGGCAATCAGGGCGAATCTTGGACGAATCGGGCCGGAGGAAACCGCGACCAACCTATTCCAGAAAAAATAAATACAGTCTTAAGCGACAAACCATAAATAGAATTTGGTCGCGGCTGTTGATGTGGCTGTATGGAAGCAGACCGGCCAGCACCTCGTACATCACGATTCCAAACGCGTAAACATCACTTTTATAGGTGTAAGGATTCGGGTCCTGCATCCGAATCACTTCAGGAGCCTATAAGACACCAGGGGTGGTACCAAAGTAGATTTAACCACCCTGATTTAACTACCCTGCTTAAAATTTAACCACCCATGGTTAAATTTTAACCATCTATGGTTAAATTGTAACTACCCATGGTTAAAATTTAACCACCTAACGCGAAAAAATTTAACCACCCATCCAAAATCAATTGATCTAATTTATCGATAGAAATTCTTTGGAAGAAAGCAACGTGAACCCAATTTATCGCTTTCTAAACGATCCATCGGCGTATGTATAAAGCGACTGCCTTCCCAGGGCCCTCCGGAATCGAAAGGGACTCCTCAGTGTATTCGGTCTTTTGGGTGCGTTCCGAAAATGTAGACCATTTTTATAATGTATTTGGTAGGTTTTGGCTGCTAGGAAGTTATAGATAAAAAATTTTTTTAGGTATTTTGAAAATCTTGAACATGTTGAGCTTTTTTGGCCATTTTAACCAACGAGTCCAAATTCTCTCGAACAATGTTATAAGTTTTCGGATTTTTATATCTAAAAGAGTATAAAATACTATAAAAATTGCCTATATTTCGTCATAGAGCCGTCCCAAATTATGCACGAACCGCAGGCGAAACGGGGAGATTTGTCGAAAAAATTTATGATTTCCTAATTTCGAATAGGATAAGTTACATTATACGAAAGGACTAGGTGGACGTGGCCAAAAAGCCTGCTGCGTTGGGACCCTTAGGAAAACGGCTTCCCAAGTTACTTGTTGTGAGCGATCGGTGTCCAATTAATGCGAATCCTCGTGGTAACAAAGTATCCAAAATATGCGGATTTATCGAAACGAAGATTGGGGAGTGATGTCTAAAGAGAGAATATCAAAAAAGGGAGGCGGAGTGATTCCGTTGTAATCTTTGATGAAAATTTTTGCCATCCGAAGCCGGGAGGTGGCTAACTTTATCCTAAAAAAATTTAACTAGGGTGGTTATATGTTTCGTGAAAACGTTTTCACGAAATATTTAACCGTGGGTGGTTAAATTTTTGAGGTGACTTTTATGCCCATAAACCACCGTCTACGGCCCTAATATCTTTAACACATGCTAGAATATCGTCTAAAGAAACCATATTCATCTTATTGGTGAGTTTGAATTTCGGCGGAATTTTTAACATGGTTTATAAAAGTATTACTTTTGGGTGGTTAATTTTTTTGGTTTTGGCCCTCGATGGTTAATGTTTAACCACCTATGGTTAAAATTAAACCATGGGTGGTTAATACTTAACCATGGATGGTTAAAAATTAACTATGGGTGGTTATGGTTTAACCATCGTGGTTAAATTTCCAAGCTCCTTTCTAGCCCCTTTCCAAGTATTGCACCAAAAATGGTTAGCGGTATTCGATCAAGCCTTTGAAGAAACCTATCCGTGAATTTTGCGATCTTTCTAGACCTCTTGATTGTCGTAGAAACCATCCTCCAAAAGTTAGCTTTTTACCATTGGCTTTGGGCGGTTAAAATTTAACGATGGGTGGTAAAATTTTAACTATGGGTGGTTATAATTTAACCATGGTGGTTAAATTTTAACCACGGTGGTTATGGAGCTTTGGTACCACCCCAGAAATGGTCAGACGATCAACAAGCCTACCATCCAAAGTATGGAGCCTGTAGGCTGCTGACTTTGATGCGCACCGCTCCATCGCGTCTTGACAGTGGCCAGTCCGAAATCACCGATTTTGACGGTATTATCCTCCGTCAAGAATATATTGTTCGATTTCATATCCCTAAAAACTCCGATGAGTTGAGAGGCAAGCTGTGCACCTGTGTATGATGCGCTTGCTGTGCAAGAAGTACATCCCCAGGGTGACTTGCTTGAAAATATCGAGGACACTTGTTAGCTCAAATTCCTTCTTCGGCTCCACAACATGAATGTGTCTAAATAAAAATAACAAAAAATCCGGTGAACACATACTTGTACAATGAACTGCCCTCGCACCATTGCGTGACGATAGCCAGCTGCGGCTCACGCACCCAGCCCATGAAGTTCAGGACGTTCGGGTGCCGAGTCTTCTTTAGCAATGCAACCTAAACAATCATGAAAAATGCAGTAGTCAAAAATAACCTCATTTTTGAAGGCTTGGAGTTGTGACGGATTCGGGTCGAGGACATTGAGGCGCTTCAAAGCCACGAGCCCGAAGTATTCAGCACGGAAAACTGTCCCGAATGATCCAGATCCGACTTTGAACTGGCAAGATATCATCGCAGCATCGATCTAGCAAACAAATTGTCATACGCCGAAAAAAGGTCTAATACCTCCCAATCCTCCAACTGCTTTTTAGTCTTTGACCGAAGCGGCTGAATCGTATCCAATTTGTCCCCGGGGCTTTTGCTTCGACCGCGGAAGAACTGTGTCGAAACCTAAAACATACACTAAGCAAAAAAAGTCGCCAAACATACTTTTGAGGCGGGGCGCTCTGTGGAGGCGTGAGCGGCATCGCATTTGGGAACAGATGAGACGGATGAAGCGAGTGCGCCGGTGGCGATGAACATGTCGAAGAGGGTGATGTAGATGAACACGGTGATCCGCCAGTTTGAAGTCTGTTCGTCGTGATCAATCGCTGTGCACCCGGATGACGAGCAGAGTTCATTATCTTCGGATCATCGCGCTTTTCGAGCTCGGCCATAACGCGCTATATGAACAGAGATTGTGAAGATAGGAGTAATTCGAAAATCTGCCGTTGAAAATATTACATCGTGCTCCAGGCTCGCCCCTTCTTCGTTGATGGCATTGATATTTGGCGCCGACGAGGAGCGATCGCGCGGATATGGTGCTGAGGATAGGGTTGACGCAGTCGGAGTGTGGGTGATGTGAGGGGCATTGCTTCGTTTCACGGCGCGTTTTCTCAAAAGGTGAAAATTTAAAATAGCTTATGGATAAATTTCTAATCTTCAAAAGCAACCACGCAGGTACGAAAACCACCTTTGGATCTCCCGGTCGCCAGGGCTGTGCTGCGGTTGTCGGACAGACGGTGATGAAGGCTCGATGAACTTTGTGAGAATTTCTTCCGCGAATTGCCCGTCAGTGCTTTGTGTACACAAGTCCCGGAGCTTGTTCAGGATTGTCTAAAAACATCATTTATTTTCCAACAATTCAAGTACCTCATCTCCTCGCTGTAAGAGGTCGCAGTAGATCGGAATTTTTGAGCTGCATCGTTGGTGGAATTTGACATTGCAGTACTCACAGCGGTAGGCCTAATGAAAAATGACAAAATTCAACTGGCTACTCACAATCCACATTTGCCGCTTGCACGCATCGCACGTTTGGGGCGGGATGAACGTCTTTCTAAAAGCAAAAAATAGGCGGCCCAATTAATATTCCTTACCTTTGGAACGTGTGCTCTATCCGGTTGACGGTGTCCAAGTACTCGCTGTGCACCCAAAGTTCCTTGTTGGCGAGACGATTCGCGATGACTTCCATTTCTTCCTAAAAACAGGGATCAAATAAATCGAAAAATTCTAACCGTGAGATCAAGACGCTCAGTCTTCGGGTTTGACGAATCGCTCACGTGGCATAGCGACGGCTGGATCCGTCGCTTATGCAGCACCTAAAAACCTTGTAAAAACAAAAACAAAATGAGTTACCCGTGCGATGGCGTCACACGCTGACTCGCCGCTTCTCACCTCGACCTTGGAATGCAGGCCGAAGGGGAGATGCAGCAGTACCAATTTTGTCGCCCTGCAAAGAACAATATAAGCTGAAAAAAATATGAATCTTACTTCTTTGGCGACAAGATTGGCGACTGAGTGGCAGTGCTGGCGCCAGAGAAGGGCTGCTGCGTCGAGAGCGTCGATGGTGGCGAGCACGGGGACAGCATCGGCGACTGGTGGCGAACCATAGGGGAAGAGCCCGTTGGGAGAGACATTCTTCCTTACGGTGCCACCAGACGGCTCCACTTTCACACGGGTTTTTTTTGGGGTAGGGCGTGCCTGGAATGAAAAAAATAGTTGTAGGCAGCGGCCGAATAAAGGAGAGATAATAAGAAAAACGAAAAGCTTATCAAATCACGCTCAATATCATAAAATTACAATCTGCTGTAGATCGAAAATGCTTGCGCGCAAAAGACACCATCCCATATAGAAGCTACCGGCCACAATCCTTTTGGTCTGACACATCGGAAGTGTTTCGCACTTATTTCGCAGCTTTTAGGCTTCACCAAAATGTGCAGATTCGCTGGTTGGGAACATGTTTCGGCTTAGAGATTAATTTTCCGCGGCACATGCCGAGATCGATCGATTCGCCGGGCAGCAATACAGTTTTCTTACAAAGCTCCGAGCCCAGCGACGTCGCTAGGGAAGCCTGGGGCTAAGATTTCGAATGTAACACATCCGCCTGGCCTTTCTGATAGATTTAGCTGTTTGATCTGGGGATTTCGAAGGTCGTAAATAAGGCCAAAGGCCAAACATTTAGAGTTGGAGAACGCTTCATTGAGCGATTAGCTTTTTACAGAGGAGCCGGCATGACGGGCGATTGGGTCCCGCGACGGGCCCTGAGAACGATCAGCTGTCCCCAAGACCCACTTGCTGACATTCCGTGCCAGCCCCGTCGAAAGCGAGCTTTTCATAGAAGAACTTTTGCCGCTGGATTCTGTTTTGGCTGGAACTTGCAAAGTTGGACAATTTCGAAGATTCATACGTTTTGTACGCATCGAACTGTGTTCTAGGGAGAGAGCGCTAGATAACGAGAGACACCCCCTATCCTCTGCCCCCACTATTGCCAACCACAGAAATCGCTCGGATTTTCCGAATATTGGTTGCGCTGTTTCAAAGAAGTAATCATCATTCCGGATACAACTATCTCTGCAATTCGTACATTGTCTAGTTACGTTCTCCGCTCTGATTCGGATATTCGTGAACGTCTTGTACGGTATCAATCTTTCGGCCCATCTTTTCTCTATTTCCATGCTTTCCTTACACCTCACTCGCTGTCACGGGACTTTCGGCCACCCATCTTTGCCCGGGCAATCAATTTTATGATTTGCCCAGATTTTTTGATTTCGAACGGTGATACGTGTCCTAATAGACCAGAAATAACTTTAAAACATTTGGGGGACCTTCTAGGGTATTTCAAAAAACAAACCCGGTCTGCAATTTTCGGGCTCTCTCTCTCCCTCTTCTGACTTCTGTACATTAAACTTATTGGCTTTCTTTAGGGTTTGTTGAATACAGCGAACCATGACTCAAGAGGATGTCGTGGATGAGCCTATGGATGGTTCAAGGTCGGTCTTGCCGCAGGGGGCTGATGAATCTTTTGTTTCAGCGAGGTCAACGTCCAGAAAATTACCACCAAGGATCAGCTTAGCGCGCTGATTGATGACGTGGAGAATACGCGTCTTGTTCAAAACGATACTTGGTAATTTTCGCTGCAAGCCTGGCATTCTCTTTAGGTACGTGTTATCGACAGATTGGTGGAAACGCCTTGTGCAAGCGGCCGGCGCCGGTTACTTGGAGGATATTACGCCAATCGATTGCTCGAAAATATCCGAAAAGCGAGGTACCCAAACTCCACTTGCATCTAAATTTTTTAGGTGATCGTTGGTATATGAAGCAAAACCAGGTCGAGGGCTTGGACTACCAGTTAGTGCCAAAAGAGGTGAGGATTTTTTAAATTTTTCGGCTCGGCGTGTATGATCTCATGGTAATCATCTCGGTTTTTCAGCAATTCCTCGCTTTCTACAACACGTTTGGCGCTGTCGATGATGACCGAGACGTGATTCAGCGGAAGGTGGAGCTCCATCCGGTCAAGCAAGAGCTATTTGTTGAAGTCTACGCCAAATTTCTGACGGTTCATATATACTTTCATTCAAAACCTTGCTTAGGTCTCACTGGCTCGGGATCGTAAGCAAACAGCCACCTTGCCTGTGGTTCCAACCGACACCGTTCGTAAGTTGCTGATTCGTTGCGTAAATTTTTCTTAGGGACTCTCGGCACCAAGGCCGTTCAAGCTCTCGGACTGGGCCAGACACCGCACAATCGGCTCCGTTTCTATATTCATCACCAGGTCTGGTCTATTTTTAATATGACGGATTCTTCTAGGACGAAGATCGTTACGAGTTGCTGACGATCGAGATGAAGACCAACTGGGAGCATTTCTTCACCTTCAACCAAGTGGTGTGTTTCTTGAGGGCAAGAGTACACTCTAAATTTACTACAATTGCATTTTTTATATTGCAGGTTCTGATTGATGTGCTCGATGACGAGGGCAATGGAGTTATTCAGCCGCCCGCGCCGCGGTCTCGGAACGGCCCATCGATGAATGGTGGAGGAAGGTGAACTTTAGTACCTCCGTTTTCACACCGTGCTGCACCTGGTTAATTGCTTAACCTCGTGGTATTAGCTCACACCGCTGGTTGCCGTTCTTCTTTGTGACCCTTCACGGGGTCCTGTGGACAATAGTGGCGCCGATTTTCTCGTTAGCCTTCTATATCCCGTACGTCCCGGAGATTGTCTATTCGGGTCCGGCACGTCGGCTCCGCCGAATCCTCCGATTGGCATTTGGCGGGATCCTCGGGGACATGAGGTGCGTTACTTGCCATCGAATTAGTTCTTGTGAAGCGCGTGTGCCCGTTATCCATCCAGGTGACAAAGCTCTTTCAAAAAAATTCTGGCGCTGACTATCCGATTTTATCAATTTCCCAAAAAGCACATTCTTTACATTGTCGTGTTGATGGATAACTGGTAACCAAGCTTTTCGTTGGCGAGAAACGTACCTCCCCTATGATCTATTTTTGTCGCTAATCCTTGCTTTGTCACTTGGGGAGCGGCGCTATTTTGGCACACTAATCCATTAATTTTTTCAGCCTCTCCTATGCGCGTGTTGCCGACCAGATCCCGGGCGTTTGCGGACTTCAAAACTTGGGTATTATTACTTTCCGATGCTGAGGTTTTGTTTAGGCAATACTTGCTTCATGGCTTCTTCGCTGCAATGTTTGTCCAATGTGCCGCCGCTCAGACAATACTTTTTGTCTGGTCACTACAAGGGCGAGGTCAACGAGCAGAATCCGCTCGGAACTGGTAAGCCGGTTTCCGATCGGTGGCGTTTAATCAAACGTTTAGGTGGCGATTTGGCTCATGCCTTTGCTGACCTCTTGGAGCAGCTATGGAGCGGAGAAAACAGCAGCATCAGCCCGAGGCAAATTAAGGTATCAATTTTATTTATATTGAGATACGTGCCTTCGGTATTACTTTCACGGCCCACTTTCAGACCGTCATTGGACAGATTGCGCCCCGCTTTAGCGGCTTCAGCCAACAAGACTCCCAAGAATTGATGGCCTTTGTCCTGGACGGTCTGCATGAAGACTTGAATCGGATCAAGAACAAGCCCTACTTTGCGGATAATGACGAGGACGAAAATAAGTCTGACGAGGAGGTAACTTTACCTATAATTTCTGAGCCCAATGTTTTTTAGTTGGCCAAGCTGCAGTGGGATCAGTACAAAGCACGTAACGACAGCATCATCGTCGACAAGATCCACGGGCAAATCAAGAGTACTTTGACCTGTCCCACATGCATGAAGGTATTTTGTTCTGTCGTCTATCTTTATTGAAAATCTCCCAGATATCCATCAAGTTCGACCCGATCTGCTTCCTTTCCCTGCCGCTGCCCATCCCTGAGAAGCAATTTGAGCAAATGTTTTTGTTGATGCAGCCTGACAAGAAATGGGCTCTGGTAAGGAACTTCGAAAGAGTTTATTGAACATCCAAAATTGAGCTTTGATAGAATGTTTTCGTGAATAAGGTGGCAGAGAGGCGACCTGCTGTAATTCTGCCTAAATTGTATTGATTTTCCTTATAGTTAAATACGGCCTAAGATCTAGTTTGACTTTTTACATGCACAAAAACCCATGAATTTTTTTCTATACAAATTGCACATTCCACCCGCACAGACACATATTGGAGCCATCGAAATTTCGTTATTTCGATGCGCGGCCGCGCGCCAAAACATTGCACATGGTAACCTGCTTAGGTATTATTGGCCCCGACATACACATAATATTCATCAGGCGGTTGTTCTTTAGCCATCGATTTACACACTTATCGGCTCTAACTGAAGACATTGCACATTGTCACCTGCGTAGAAATGATTGTAAAAATAGTATCTAGGTTTAAAATTAGGTACTGCATTGCACATATTTCCTGCTGCCATTTAGAAGTCCGGTATTTTTAAAATAAATGAAAATCCATAATGACTTACCCACTTACCTGGTCCGAAACTTACCTGCCCGCCCGTACTTCCGCTATTAGACATTTAAAATTGTACTAAAAAGCCGATAATTCGCCGGGGATAGCATCATCTCGAGCTTTTGGCAGAATTGGCGATAGCCAAAAATCCTTGTCATAAGTAGGCTCCACCTGAATAATGAAATCTAGGACTCCTTGCAATTCTGTACCTTTTGGGGTCGGTTCCGTCGCTTTCCTCGTCAACGATGTGACGCATAGCGTCCCAAAGCACATTGTGTGTGGGCGTTAGAATGCCGGCATACTAAAAACCGTTATTATTACTTTTTACGCAAAAACCCGTCGTGCTATCTTTGGAATATTTTTTATTTGTTGGACGACTTACCTCAAGCGCATTGTCGGGGTTGAAGAAGAAGAGCGCAGCTAGAATGGCCATTTGCCGTAAATCCATTTGCAGCTCGTGGACCTGTTCGGCAATCAGCAATAGTTCTTTGAGGAGTGATTGTTGCTTCTGGAATACATAGTGTCAGCCCCTAAGCTAGGAACTAATTGAAACCAACCTCGCCAAAAACACTTTGAAGCACATCGACGGTAATCTTCTTTTCTGGTTCCGGAACAAAGCATTTTTCCGTAGGGTCATAGAATGACAAAAACCGCAAAAGATGGATTTCTAATAGTGAGGCTCGAAGCAGCGATTCTTGGGCTGTTTGATTCAACTGCAAAACTCTTTTTTTGCAAAAACAACTAGCCTCTACCTGGTCAAATGACTTGATGGCCTGCGCAAACTCTCGACTTCGCCTAACGAATGGGCGCAAGAGTTCCATATATGCATTTTCTGACGCGGTTCCGTCAGCATCGGATTGAGGCAGTGGTAAATCAAGCTTGTCGCAGTAGAATTTAGTCACGGTTTCAATAACGATACCGAGTTCCTAATAATAGTTATAAAATTCACTAGAACCAGGGTTGAAAAGCCGCTTTGCGACTTTTCAACCCCGGCCCCGTATAAGCCCATCAAATTCGCCCTTTGCATAATTCGCCCGAATTTGGCATGAGAAATGATGAAAAACGCTCCCTCTTTCGGATTATATAGGCTATCGCCACCTCCGGTGCATGCTAATTTTTCCCTAACAGAGAGGGCGCCCGTTTTTTAAACAAAAAACCATTTTTAATGTTGAAAATAAGATAATTTGCAAAATCTTATACGTGTGCAGTCATCTCGGAAGCATTACGCACCTAATTACGTATCAAACGTATCTTAAAAACTTCCCTCTATCGAGATGCTACTGGAACACGCTGACGGAAGTTGCATACAAATGCACACACACACACAGAAACTATTTTCTATATATAGTGAGATAACTCACCTTTTGATGTTCTCTTTCGGTGGAAGGTGTCTTCAGAGTGACAAGGACTTCCTTGACGGCTTTCCGCACACGGTTTTCTTTGATGAGATCTCGTTTCTGGGCTCTTTCATTTTCCGTCAGCACCACTAAAATTCGTGAAATTTCATGGGAAGCAGAATTTTTCCATGAGATGGAATTTTTGTAATCTGAAACGGATTTTTCGAAGTTTTTGTATAGTTTTCCACTTCAGATATAATTAAATATGATTAGCAAGGCTATAATTTTTTACGGTGTTAGGCATTTCTGCATTCCTATGAAAAAGTTACCCCTGTTTTGTTATTGAAAGCCCGAATCTCGCAAACACAGATTTTGTTGGACTTTGTTTAAATAAGAAAAACTACTTACGGTCAGAGCTCATCCCCACAGCCTTGCACTTGTTATAGCGGCAGCGCTGGCAGCCATTGCGATTGTCTTTGTTAATCGGGCATTGTTCTTGTCCTGTGCGGCACACATAGTCAAGGTGTCTCTGCTCGGTACGGCGCCAGAAGCCCTTGCAGCCTTCGCAAGTGATGGCCCTAATTTGTATTGTGGGAATTGGGGGAGATTGTTTACCTGTAGTGCAAGCCAGTCGCAATATCTCCACACACGCTGCAAAGCTGACCCTCAGCCATGTAAGATGGTAGATAAATGGGGGCGGAGCCAGCTGAAAGAGCATAATCGTAAATCGGTTAATTAAAAAAGCTTGAGCTCCCCGGGACTTACCTTTTTTTCGTGGGCGGATGGGGGAATTAGTCGGATGTAAAATCTTGGCGGTCATTTTTCAATAACCGGCAAATTGGGCGTTTATGCTAGGACCTGTAAGGACCGTAGGCATAGACTGAGGGACCCATTGGATCGGCGACCGAGCTTGTCCTTAGAGTCCCGCCCCCCGGGATGCCGTGTGGGAGATAGGGCTTGACCCGACGGCCTCCGTTGCGCAACTCCGCCGAGGTGCCCCTCCAGGTCATCCCCGAAGAGGAGCCCGATGGCGCAATTGCGTTCAAATAACGGCTGGGGCTTCTGGGAGCGAAAATGCTAAGCGTTAGCAGCAAAATAAAAGAAAAATGTATCAAATATGATATGGAGTTTATTAAAAATGGAATATTGAGTGCCCAATCTAGCTTTACCCCCAGAAATGTTTAATTTTCAGTTCGCCATGAAGGTCACCAGGAGCACCACCGTTCCCGAGGCCACAAAAATCATCCAAGACGATCTGGCGAAGAGCATTGAATACAAGGAAAAACCGGTAAATTTTTTTCTTGCCTCGACTTCAAACTGTGTTTAGATTGTCCTGTGGAAGATGGACGAGCGTCAGAACGTCCAGTTCCTTCGTGCCGACGACACGGTGGCCATCAATAATTCGTACAGCTCGTACCACCAGCAGCAACACCACAACAAAATTTATGGCATTTTCGTTGGTATGTTCTAGACTCTTGTAATCAGGAATTGGCTGACTTTTAGATTCCCCTGAACAACAGCTCATGGTAGTGGTCAAGAACCAATCGGTCAGCAACGAACGCCCCGTTACTTTGCCCTACGTGTTCGCTATCAGCCCGGGCGTCGAAATCAATAGGTAGGCACTAAATTGTGTTTTTTTCATGGTGTCATTCAGGGAGTGGGTTGACAATGTGGCGATGCCGACGATCCGTAGCGAATTCTTCAAGGATCCGCAGCTGGTGCATGACGCAGACGAAGGAGTCCCTTATGAGGTGTGGATTTTGGATATCTTTCCCGGGGCCACTTTCCCTGGTACTGGTACCACTGGTCTGCGGGCAACCTCGGTGCCAGACCGCCTGTGGCAAATCGGCGACCGGTGACCCCGGTGAATTATACAGCTCTCTCATAAACTTTACCACCCGGGTACTTGTCCGATCTTTGTGATATGATCTAGCAGGTGGCCCGCTACGTCTAGGAATTACAACTAACCGGCGGTGGGCGACTTGTAAAAAAACCGGCGGCCCTCAGCGCAATATTAACGAACATCCCGCAAAAAAGTGTGTGTTCGCGGTTGGACCTAAGTTTTTGCGCAATTCGCAGCTCGATGCTAGGCCCTCCGAAGCATGGGCTGTTGGACGGAGACATTTTGAGCCTTTTAGCAAATACCAGGCTAGCCAGAGCAACAGCCCCTCGAGCGAGTTGCGCAATTCGCCTAACCTTGGCGTTCGGTTGCCGTTAGGGCCCCCCTACCATGGGCAGATGGTACGATTGGAATGGAAAGCGATGTGCCGCCGAGTAATACCCGAGAATACGATTATTTTTTAGATCTTTTTCGAGACCCCCGAGGGCCTCTCGCCGTTGAACGAAGAAAGCATCCGCGGGGTCTCCGTGACGACTTTGGTGATCCGTTGGCAGAATCCGCAAATCTTTAATGGGAAAGATGGCAAGGTACGGGTCTCCTGTTTGCTACAATAACCACTTTTCAGGCCCTCGTCGATCGTCAGTGCAGGGTCCCTGTGCCGACGCTGATAACGCTGAAGGATTGCATCGACTTGTTCACCAAGGATGAGAAATTGAGCGAGAACGACAGTTGGTACTGCCCTCGCTGCAAGGAGCATAAGCGTGCTACGAAGCGTCTTGACCTCTGGAAGTTGCCTGATGTGAGTTGTTGGCTTCTCTGAAAGTACAATGCCGTATAGGTGCTCATCATCCACCTCAAGCGCTTCATCTACGACCGGTGGCATCGCGAGAAGATTGGGATTCAAGTGCAGATCCCGTCTCGGTATGGAGTGAATCCGCGTTATGTATTTTCTTCTGTTTTAGGGGTTTGGAGTTGAACGACAAATTGGCAAATGACAAGCACGAGCATGTCCAATATGACCTCATCGGAATGTCCCATCATTATGGAGTGCTGGCCGGCGGGCACTACAAGGCCACCGGATTGAATCCCAATGGGAAATGGTATGCCTAGAAAAAGGGATAATCTCCTCCGTTAGGTACGAATTTAACGACTCCTCTGTACACGAGATCCCGGCTCCGGATGATCCCTATATCAGCGACAGCCCTTATTTGCTCGTCTATCAGCGAAGGTTTCTTTTTGTTTTCCGGCTCTAATATTTTACTTAGGGCAAGCCCGGACGTCCACCATGTCGATGAGAATATTGCGATGGAAGTCAACGAGTAAAGCCATATTTTTACTTCGGTTACATTAGCCAATCTTGGTCCAATGATTGTGATAAGTCTTGTGTGTGTTTTCTACTCGAACCCTTTCAATGTAAATTCCCGATTGCTGGGATTCTCTTTTCACGTGTGCCCAGTCTTCTCAACCCCCAATCTGCTCTCATCTCTTTGCGCTCAATGGGTACGCCTTCCTTTAAGATTTGTCCAAATTCGCGTGTTTCTCCCGTTTACCCCGCGTTGCCACCCTCTGTATTCCGTTCGACTAGTCTAGAGTTTGCTCTCGAGGCGCGATGAAACAAAAACGGGTTTTTTGCCCCCCTGGACGAAAATTACCTGTGCTTTTGTTTCGGGAGCCTTAATTGGCTATGCTCTTCTCCAATGACTTGGTGTTCATACCGGTTCACATGCGCATCCCTTGCTTCATACTCGCGGGCGTTCTTACTTATCCTCCTCCCTATCCAGTAGCACCGCACACATTCTGTACAGCCCATCGGCAATTTTTAGTTGTGATTTGCATTTGCGATGAAAAGTTTTGATGCCCAAATACTAGTGGATAAGAGCACAAGGAACATGGGGAATTGGCAGATTCACGCTTAGACAGGCGTCCTCAACAGCTTTTGGGAAGATTGGGCCTTTGGGTATTTTTAGGTCGGTGTGACCCGCGCCAGTCGCTATGGCAACTGCTGACGCTGGCAGTAGTAAACAATTTCCGGGATTCGGACACTAAAATGGCCTCCATTTTGTTAATTATTTGTTTCCTGCATGAGGTTTTGCAAGCTCAATCGAGTGAATGTTTCGCGCTAGCTAAAGGCGCCGATCGGTCCGGGTTGTGGCCGACATTCAACCCGTTCTGTGTCATCCGAAAGGGTAGGACCATCTTGTTGTCTTGTAAGCCCTTTAGCCGCCGATGTTCTACAAAATGTGCCGGTTGTGGATACCATTGAAGAGATGGAATCGTACATAAAAACTACGGGGGTTGACCCTGAAGGAAACGAGGTATAATAGATCACTCAAGTGTTGTTAAAAACTACTATTTATTAGGAATCGCCTTCAAAAGTCGTACGTTATGCCGATGGTACCCCATTTAGACTACCAATAAGCAGTTTTTCCGATCAATGTACGGGTATGACAGAGATAGGTAAACTGGGCGTAGAGTTGCAGCCGTGAATATTAATGGTTTAGAAATCCCCTACTCCTCAAAGATTAATTGTCTTTGGCCCTCGCCTGAATTGAGCCAGAGTTTGTGCGAATCCGAATCTCTTTTCAATGCGAAACATTATTTCGGGATGGCATTGAGTGATGGCAGCAGCAAGGTAACAGATTTCTATAGAAAGCAAGTCGTTTTAGGATAACACGACTATTGAATGGAGTACGACTCAGCAGCTTCTCACTCCCTCTTGGGATCCAGACGAGAAGACGTGTGATAATGTACTTCAAGAGGTGATTGAGAATGTTGAATTGCGACGATTTGCAGGTGGTACTGCAACTAGATGTCGACTCAAATCGTCAAATTACAAACGCTGAAGTTCCGAAAGTTTCCTATCGTCGGTTGGGTGCGGAAGACCTCGGAGTTCATCAGCTGCAATTCACCGTGATTTTTCGACAAAGTGCTGGGGCTCGGGGATGGCACGACGAATATTCGACGGGAGACCCGCTTTTGGTGAAAACGCAGAACGGTATGGGGCTTTGATGAAGAAGTTTTCAACTCCCTTTAGGCAATATCCCTTGGAAACTGGCGACCATTCCGGAATGCGCTTCAGCAAGTGAAAAGTTTGTAACATTTGGAAAGACCATGAGAACGACCTGTTCGGTTAGGTGAGAACCGTAATCTTATCGATTTACGTGGAAATAGGGCCCCCTGTGCTGAGGCATTCGACATAGCGGAAGAGTTAGTGGGTTCCTTTGCCCAGCAATTGCTCCCATCGCCAAGAGCTGTCGACGGGATTCCCGTGTTGAGGAGGAATCAGCCGGACGCTGAAAGGGTCAGTTGTGGAGTGCACGATACTAACAATGCCTAACAGATGACCAGCAGCACCCGTTGTACACTTCCGACAATCATCAGTCTTGATATTGCATTCGCAAAAGTCGGCACCACTGAGGATTTCTCGATAAGGGTGGGGAGACCTATAAAACTTTAAATTTACTTACTAGCCCATCCGCGAGCCAACTGAAAAAGGCCCCATAAATTTCTGACAATCCAGATTATTGGCGCCTACCTTTCGACCCGAAACCAGGAGGTCGACCTTGAGGCCGATCGTCAAGCTTATTTCACCCGTCAGATCGCCTTCAAAGATGTGACGAAAGGTGGGCACTACACAAAAAAAGCAAAAACACGTTTTCGAGTGTTCATTTGATTTCTTTCAGCGGTCTCCTACAAATTTGCTGCAATCCCCCACATCGACCTTCGACTTCCCTCCGATTTCTTCTATCCCATTATGCCCAACCCTGCTTCTTCCGTTTCAATGCCGATGCTATATTTATCGCTCATTTTGATCGTGGCCAGAGCCTGCTTTTATTGAACTGGCATAATTTAATGATTGCTTCTGACGGGCCTATAAATAAATCACTTATCATTAAACTAAAAAACGAGCCAAAGAATGCTGACAACGATTGCGGTTAGCAGAAAAAAATAACGTTCATGATGAGACAACAATCGCGAAAATTAACGAAACGTTAAAAACAGCTAAGTGAACCTAACAAATTTGTTGTTCGGCCCAGGCGCCGGATATGCTAATAATTTGAATAGGTTTTCCCCTGTATAAAACCCTACGGATCACAGCGCTGCATAACTTTTCGTATCCGCTTCCCAATTCGGTCGCCTCGACTTGATTTACTACTCGACTCAACTAGCAGCCAACTAAAGGTATGAATTAAGTGCTGTCACAAAAATGTACTATTTCGCTGCAGAATGTGCACAGGCAAGTGCAAAAAAGAAGAAGGGCCAGACGGGCACAGCTGCGGTCGCCAAGAATGCGAAGGCGAACCCGAAGGCCCCCGCTGCTACTTCGCTTCAAAAGGTGCTTTTTCCGTTCGATTTTTCTTAATATCCCCTGATTTCAGAAGGGCGGACTGCCAGGCAAAGTCCCGAGCGGTACGCGCGTTGTTGAGCAGAAGAAGCCCGTCAGCCAGAACAAGCCCGCCACCGCCCCGAAGACGGCGCCCCGCAAACGAACCTCCGGCTCGTCGACGTCGAAAACCAAAAAAGACGAAGACGCTGGTACGGAAGCAGCTTTCAATTAACAGAATATTACAGTCGCCATCTCCGGCTGGTCAACGTGCCTTGCCAAAGAACAAAGATGTCACCCACAGCAATTCGGCCGGGCTGTTGGCCGCCGAAAAGTCGAAGCGAAAGGAAGGAAAGAAAAAGGATGCTGGCCCGGAAGACAAGCAGAAGAAGGGACCAGTGATGAAGGTATCGAATTGAGAGAACGAACTCATTGATCGTTTTTAGAAAGGCTCCGAGCGAGACAAAAAGCCAAAGACGTCGACAAGCAGTTCGAAGGGCAAAAAGAAGAAGACACTGGAGGAGGGCGGTCAGAAGAAGGCAAAGGGGGTCGAGCTCGTCAAGGAAAAGGTAGAGGCTGAATCGGCATAAATTGCAATATTTGCTTTAGGAGCCGGCGATGGATCCGACGCAAGAAGATCACACACGAGTCGACCCTGATCTCATCACCGCCGTCGACTTTGAATTCGAGGTTGAGAATAAGTTTGCAAATACATTAGTTATGTCTTTCAGCAATCGTACAAGAAAATGCAAGAGTCATTCCCGGAAGATTCGCGTCGACTTCGCGACCGGAAGAAGCGCCTCCGCCCCCAGAATACCCAGACGAATTCGGTGACGCTGGAGGATTTGCTTGGAGAGAAGCAGAAGAAGAAGAAGAGAGAGCAGGATGGCGAGAACCAGAAGCCGAAGAAGGTCGGGCCAAAGGGGAAGCACCCCGAATACCTCGTCAAATACCACGCCTTCGGCATCCAGGAAAGCAAAGGTACGGCTCTCCAGCGCGAGGTGGATGAAGCCGCTTTTTGCAGTCGAAAGAAGACTTGGCGATCCCCACCGAGCACCGCATCCTCACCAGCTCGCCGCCGCTGCCGAAGGGAGCCGTCGAGCAGCCGGATCCTCGTCAATCGCAGCAGCAGCTGGTAAACTGATCAGCCTTTTGGCTCAAGTCTAGGAAACCCCCCCCCCCAGACGACTTTTCAACTTTTCTACCTTCCTTATTTTTATTTTTCGCTACTTTTTTCGACTGAACTGCAATGTAGTCTTACTAATTAGCCTACGGCGAACATTTTGGTATACTTTAGAGCTCGCTAGCACAAAGGGGGGCCGAGATACAAAAGTTGGTGCCGGCTGGGGGGGGGGGGGGGGGGGGGTTTTCTAGACTCTTACCCCCTTTTCAGTCTTTCTCTTCGAAAGACAACTTCGCGGAATCACCATAAAATAGTTCGCTTCAGATGTACGCCTCGTACGTTGGAGCTTCTGGTGCTCAGATCAGGACTTGGTCCTTCACGGACAGTCGCCCGATCAATGGGACTGCCCTCCCCGAATATGGCGATCCGTTCCAGCAGCTAATAATTGGATGGTAAGCGGCTACTCTGAGCCCTTGAAACATTCCGATGTATTTTTCCAGCTTCCGTGACGAGTGTCCGATGCGTGCCGGCGTCGCTCCGCCCTGTCCCACCACGGCAACGTCGATCAGCAGCTCCGGCCAGTCGATCACCATCCAGCCCTCATGGTAGAGTGCGGGCAGCGATTAATGAAAGACATTTCTCGCTACAGCCAGACGCCTTCGTCGGCACGTTCGCACGGCCACACGCAGCGGATCCACGGACACAGCGAGTAAGGCTTTGCTTGGTTATCTTCAATCAGATTGCGGTTCGTATTCGTGCCTCTTTTCAGTCGTGGCCCCTACAAGCAGACGGTTCGTGAGCTCGACGTCATCGATACGGAATACGCGGGCGAGGACGCCGCTAAGAAAGTGGTATGCTGCTAATGTCATATTTCGGAAATCCTCACCCTGACAAAATTCCCCCAAAAATTTTAGCCGATTGTCGAGAAGCCGCTGGGGTTCGAGGCGATCAGCCGGCAGATGCGGGACCTCACTCTGCAGGTAATTAGCGAATTCAGGCAGAATTTCACGAAAGGATAGAGAGACACATGGTGCATTTAGATTGACTCGGTGGCCGCTGAAGTGACCAGCCTGACCAAGGTGTTTAATGGAAAGCCGATGACGACGATGGCCGTCAAGTGAAGCCCCGCCCCCAGAGATTTACAATGACATGTGCGCCCGTCAAGCCGACAGCCCCCTCGCCCTTTAATGTCTTGATGTACTGTGCCCGAATAAATCATTCACTTATTATCTGCGATATTGAATAGAAGGCATTTTATTTGTCGTGGACTTGGGATATGACGGCGACAAGGAATGAGTTGAATTCGAGGCGCAGCGTGTCTCCATCTTTTGGCAGCGAGGCAGCAACGCAATGAACCCCGTTGAGCGAGGATGGAACGCGAAATTCTGCAAATATTTCCTTGTAAACTTTCCTACAGATTCTACGATAGCAGAAATAAGACATGCGCTGGTCCTCTGAATACTCACCGGAAATGGCCGAGTGGTTGGTCGCGGTCTGATCAGTATCCAGTAACACCAACAGCACGCGGTTCATCGGAATATCACCGCGCTCGATAAATTCCCGTTCCCTAGAGGTAGGTGATGCATATCGGATACGTTTTTCGATTTCTACGAGCTCACTAACCACGGAATAAGATCATCGCCAGTGTGCCGTTCCGGACTCGCCACCAGAATCACGCCATGTGTCCCATCTCCAAGCGCCGGCCAGCATTTGTTATATTTCTCATCGCCTGAGCAATCCCAGAGCTCGACATCAGCGTCTAAGGACTTTAGCATGAACCAACCTAAGCCACCTACCGATCTTCTGCCCCTTCAGTTCAAGATCATTGCTCTCGAACTCGACGATGCGCACACCTAAAAAATGGGTTCTTTGACATTTGCACACCTAAAAGATGAGTTTTTCAGGCTCGGCGCCTACCTTTCGTTGGCCGGTAACCATATTGACTCTCGAGCGAGTCGGCCAAGTAATTAGAGATGGTCGTTTTTCCGGCCTATATGGGCTAGTCACGCTTTGTCCAACCCTACCTTTTGCGGGCCAAGGACGAGAATTTTTGACTTGCTGACCTTCATTGCAAGGATTACCGTGACTGGGCCAAACCCTTGCCGTTTGCTTGTCAATAGGTTACCATGGCGACCAGATGGGCCCTGCTTCCCGGATTTTCAAATTTCTCATTTTTTCACGACTATTACTCTAGCTCTGTTACTATGGCGTTTGTCGCATTCCGGACGACTCAATTCACATTCTTCGAAGGGCTGTCCATGCCAGCTAGCTTCTTTCGGCCGGGCTGCTCTGCGTCTCTGCCCCGCGCACATAAAGATAAGCAAAGCTTGCTAGTCTACCCTTATCCCAACCCTTGAAGCCCGCTTGCCCCAAGCTCAGCTTTTCGACGGTCATTTCAACAAGCAACAAGTAGTCTCTCTCTTGTTTGCTTCAAAGAAACGCAGTCTTATAGCCTTGGGCGATCGGTCTGTTAGTCTACGTCAGCGTAACGCAAATACTCCTCTCCACCTATGGACCTCCCCGTCCATCTCCCGATATCGATTTTCAATGCTCGCCCTCAGAAACTGCTTTTACCTAAAACGCTAGAAACGATCTTCATTTCATTGGCAGATTCAAACCGTGCTTTGTTTTCTTGCGCCGTCGATAATCATGTTAATTTTAGGCATGCGGTGATGTTACCCAGGCGAGGCTGGCTGATCCTCGCACTACTTCAGCTCCTTTCAGCTGTCCTATCGAGTCCACAATGTTTAACCTGCGACTTTTTAACGGAAACGGTCGTGAAGGTTGGCCTAGTGGATTGTCTTCGACCTATCATTCCTTTCAGGGACTCAAAATCACCGAGCGAAACCATTTCGCTGGCGGAGACACAGCTTGGGAAGAGAAGAATCTCGGCAAATATGCAACGAGGTGCGTCTTTCGATGCTAAAGGCAATTTTTCAATTCTAGTGAGACGCGTTTGATCGAGGCTTTGGAAGGAGTTTGTAAAAAGTCCACCCTTCCTTCTACCGACAGCTATATCAGTGTGAAAGACCTCGAATTCAAGGTACTACTGCCTTTTTATTTTCGCTATTCAATTCGAAATTTCAGTGCGCTCATTTGATGGAGGAGAGCGAAGAGCTCGTGGAGAAGTGGTACTATAAGAATCAGGTAAGTGTATGTGGCTAGCTAAAAATATTAGTTTAGGAAACCCCGATTCGTGACTGGTTGTGTGTAAACGAGCTGAAAGTTTGCTGCCCTAAAGGGTGAGAGTTTGAAAGTCCTCTGAATTTGATTCTTATAGGAAATACGGCAAGAATTGTGAATCCTGTCCTGGCATTTCTGAGGGAGCCGCTGCCTGTTTCGGTCATGGAAAATGCGATGTGGGTTTGCTATTGGCGTTCTATGTCAAATTTTAGGGAGATGGAACACGCGCAGGGACTGGCAAGTGCGCCTGTGACAATGGCTATGCAGGGTTACTCTGTCGACAATGCGAGAATAATTATTACTTCAAGGAGAAGGAAGAGAATCGAGTGGATTGCGCTGGTAAGAAGCGGTCGACTACTAAAAAAGCGTTATCCAATTTCAGAATGCTACGGTGGTTGTAACGGATGCACCGGACCGTTAGCGACAGAGTGCACCGAATGCCGGGTCGGTTTTGAGCGAGATTCGAAGAACGCTTGTGTTGGTAAGGTTCATTCTGCGCTTCTTGACATTTTACAGATGTGGACGAATGTGCCAAGCCCGAACTCCATGCTTGCACCAAGGCTAATGAAGCGTAAGTCGAGGTTTATTCTGCCTCCGAACGATGTATTTAGTTGCATCAACGACATCGGCAGCTACAAGTGCGATTGTGCGGACGGGTACAAGAAAAACGATGTCACCAAGGAGTGCGAGCTGAATATACTAGGTATAAACATATCTAAGCCTCAAACATATGCTTATAAAACCCTGCACCCTTACCCCACTGCTGTCCCCTTTGTTCCTGACACCAGACACTCCCAAATTCAGCGCCACCCCAACAACCGCTGATCCGCCCTAACCTGCTACTGCGGCTGGTGAGCCTCGGTGGTCTCTTCCTGGCCACAATGCTCATCATTAGCCGCCCATCTCCTCTACTTCTTCTCCTCCTCGGCGCAACGATTGTTATCTACGTCATCATCGAGCTTTATATCAACCCCGACGCGGTCCCAGAACAACTCAAAGACCATTTTGAGCTGTAATAGTGGGCTTTTCGTTTGGTAATTTTTTTATTTCCTGGGCACCTTCCCTGGGTCTGGTGGTGATTGAAAATTTCTAACGATAATCCCTCAAATTTTGACTGTTGGTGAAGGGGAACGATCCTGGAAATAATGTTTATTTCTAGCAGCTTCGAGTACATTTCTATTTTTTCAGTAGCAACAGAACCTCCTCCAGAGCCCGTAGAAGACGGCAACGATGAGCTTTAGGAATATCCAAATTTTTCCAACCTACTTTTCTCACTGGTAATTGTGAAGTTTCTGATCTTCTTGGCCTTCACTTTTCTGCCTTAGCATTATTTATTTATCCAATTGTTTGTTCAATGGGTGTAAGGGTCCTCATGTGCATTATGAATAAATTTTTGGAACACGACACAAAAAGAGCGCCTTGGTGCGAGACAGCCATAATTACTAGACACAATGGATTACAGTCAATATGGGTGTAGAAATGAGCGAACGCGAACCTTTGGCCAAGGAAATCAAAACAGAACAGCCTTCAACGTCGGAGGAGCCCGCAAATGCAGAGAACAGGTACGATTCGAACGCCATTTTCTAAGCTTTGATCGAGACAGTTGTGCCGGGCCTTTAGGATTATACTCACGATCCACTGCTTATGATGCTAGCCATAATTATTTTTAGCGCCACAGCTCTGCCGGACGAAGACCCGCTCCTCATCGACCCGTACGTGCCCTTCGAATGTTCGATTTGTCATCACGCGGAGAAATGCCTATTTTCGGAGTTAAAAACAATTGATGGCTAGTACGTGTTAAAATTTTTTCCAAAAGTATTTAGTTATCCTGCACCCGTCTATTTCATGCGCGATCCGTTCACTCCGCGCCCAAAAGTCAAAGGCACCTTACCATTTTCTTGAAACATTTCAACCTCTCGCATTTAGGTCGCAAACCTCTGCTGTCCGATTTTTTGGTTCTTGGGTCCCCCTGTCATCTCTGCTCACAGCCCGTCTGCTTTGACAAGGTGTGTCCCTCGTTGAGTACGCTATCAAATTCCTCGTCCACAGGGGTGCTCCGTTCATTTTGGGCATTTATTTTGCGGCTTGTGCATCGCTCGCGAAAAACGACGTTTTCCGGAGCAAGTGATTCAGGTAGATCTTTGCAATATTTCAAAACAAATTTTAGGTGTTATTGAAAGCACAGATGGCCAGGGTGAAAGAAGAACCGAAGGCCACGGAATGACTGAATAAAACTTTGAAATATATTTTGTTTTGTGAAACTGAGTTGCATTCTTGAACATATCGCGGAAATTTCGCTACACGCTCTGCTGTCATATGTCCGTGCTAACCGAATTTTAGGCATACGATGGACGAATCTGACAATGCCGAAACCAGCAATCTAACTCTGGACAATGAGCTCAGCGACGACGACGTTTTAATGGCCGATGTTATCGAGGCTGCCATTGAGGAACGATTTGTATCGAATTTGTTTCGTTCGCAGGTTTCCTTTCTTAGGCAGCTGCTAACCGCGACGATTCGAATGATGGCGCAAGTAGCGAAAGTGTTGGGAAGCACATGGTAAATGTATGAAACTCTATGAATAGTCTTTTTAGTTCACGGGAAGCACTCCAGCTCTCAGTCCATCAGATAGCAGCCCGAAGCCAGTTGGTAATCGCGAATCAATTCGCACATCGGCAAAATTTAGGGTCCAAGCACAATTTCGACCTTTTCGGCTCGGCTCGATCCAGGGATTCCACGAACGACGAGGTTTTAAATTAATTTCGCCCAAATAATCTGTTCAGAATTCGCCACTTGTCAGCCTCCCGGCTCCGGTGGAACTTCCAACTTCTACGCGACTTGGAATCACAGTGAAGGCCTTGCATGTGGGCCTTGAGCAATATTCCGGAACTTACTTGGTTCAGGTGGCGGCTGAATGGAAATGGCGTCAGGGTGGGGACGATACTTGCGGCATCTGCCAAATGGCATTCGAAGCATGCTGTGTCAATTGCAAGATGCCAGGCGATGACTGCCCATTGGTAAGTGGTTCGAGTCGCAACCTGTAAAGATTTCGGGCCAACGGTTGTTGATCTTTTCCGGGTTGCGATGTTGCTCCTCTCATACGTCTCCTTTAGGTAGTCGGGATGTGTCGGCATCCTTTCCACTCCCACTGCATCACCAAGTGGACAATCTCGCAAACGACTGCGCGCCCACTCTGCCCAATGTGTCGCCAAGAATGGCGGTAATCATTCAAATTTTTTTATTGGAATGAACCTTCTAGGGTTTCCCCAGCCAAGACAGTGTCCTAGATGTCTTCGACCGGTTATGTGATTTTTCTGGCTCAGCGAATACGGATACCTTTCACGTGGCAAAAATTATGCTTTCTCGATCTCATCAGTGATAAAAATTAATTATGAAGTTTACGCATTATGAACTGTGTCTTTGTGCACATTTACCTTGATTTCGATTAGTACGCTCGTTTTCACCTGCATCTTTTTTGCTGCATTCGCGTCAACAAAACGCTCTTTAGGGTTGTCGTATGCTATCCAGGAGAGTCATCCTGCCGGTCTCGGTGTCACGCTGCTGGGTAAGTCTTTATTCTGGACTATAAGCTTGCATTAGGCGTCTGCGCGTCAAAAACAGCCCGCCAAAAGAAACAACAACTTCAACCCGGCACATCCTATCAACACAGCTTTCAAGTACAACATTATTTAGCTACAAACCTGTTTTTAGGATGACTCCAACAACATCGGGCCTTCAGCCATTCCCTGTTCAAGAATTTGACAACTTTCTTGTCCTTGATTTCGAAGCAACCTGTGACGAAAATGGACCTTTGGAGCCATGTCAGGAAATCATTGAATTCCCGGTGATCCAATTAGACGGAAAAACATTCGATGAGGTGCGTTTTTCGTTATTATTGCAATTTATTTTAGGTATCTCGATTTCACATGTATGTCTCACCAACCATTCATCCACGATTGTCAACGTTTTGCACGCGCTTGACCGGGATTATTCAGGTTGCGGCACTTTCAGCAATCAACAATTCCTTCAGGAGATGGTCGATGGCCAGCCAACACTTCCCGCAGTTCTTTCTAAATTTGATGAATGGATGCAAAATCAAAGGATTATTGATTCCAGGTTAGAAATCTTACCTTTGACGGACCTGCGGGATTGCTCTAAAGAAACAGAGCCTGAAGCTATCCCATCGAAAAGTGTTCTTTTCAGATTTATCTTCGTCACTTGTGGTGATTGGGATCTTCAATTGCAGCTACCACGAGAAGCTGCTCATAAAAACATCATCACTCCAAGGTTGGTTCTATCCTTTTTAATGTCTTTTTGTGTGTTCCGTTCTTTTTGCAACGATCTTTTCAGCTACTTCGCTGAGTGGATAAACGTGAAAAAGTCATTTTGCGACCACCGAGGCCATTTCGCACAAGGAATGAAGCATTTGCTGAAAGAACTTAACCTTACGCACACGGTCCGTTTTGGGTTCGATTTCGATAGTTGTGTTTAGGGCAGACAGCACAGTGGCATTGATGATGTGACGAATATTGCGGCTATTACTCGCGCCCTGGCTGCTGAGGGCCACGTCTTCACAGCCAACGGAGGCGCCAGGCGGAACCGCGTCTTCGGTTATTGGAGCAAGAAGCACGACGCGAAGCCGAAGGAACCAATAAATTGTTAAATTGTAAACCTTTTTTGCTAAATAGGTTTCCTTCTTAGTTACTTGGTTTTTCAACTTTTTTGATGGTGCTAGTTTTTAGGTGCCTATGTCCATCCGCAGCAATGCTTATACGAAATACTCTCCGCGCTTGCCAACGCTTTTCGTGTGCTGATACGAGGGTGAGTCTGGACTAGGTATTATAGTATAACTTTCAGGTTCGTTTTGCCCCATCACCGACCGGTCAGCTACATATTGGTGGATTGCGGACAGCGCTTTCATTACCTCTTCGCCAAGTCGCATAATGGTTCGAGCGGTTTTAAAAAGAAACCCATTTTTTAGGCTCCTTTATCCTTCGAATCGAGGACACTGATCAAACCCGGCTGGTCCCCGGCAGTACGGACTCGGTTTGGATTGTATCTTGGCAGTCGATCCTGTTTTAGATCAACCGTATATTGACACACTACGGACTAATGCCAGACGAGGGTTCTGAGCAAGGCGGCGCTTACGGGCCCTATCTCCAATCCCAACGACTTGGCATATATGAGGAGTACTCGCACCGATTGATAGAAAGCGGTCATGGTTACCGATGTTTCTGCAGTTCGGAGGTTGGAATCCTTGGTCGTGGACGATAATGGCTTCAGAGACTTGAATTGCTTCGGAAAGAGGCTGCTCGCACGAATCAAGTACCGAAGTATGACAAGCGGTGCAGGTTGCTCAGCCAAGAAGAGGTTAGCAGCCACATCTTCTTCTTTATTATTTATTAGTCAATGCAACGAAGTCGTACGGGCGAGAAATTCGTAGTTCGGTTCAAGTTGGATCTGCAGGATGTCGCGTTCAAGGTTGTCCCTTATATTTGTTGCTCTATTTTAGCTTTAGGATCGTGTTTTTGGCGACATTTCGCAGACGCTTGATGAATCTGACCCGATCCTGGTGAAAGCGGACGGGTACCCGACCTATCACTTTGCGAATATCATTGATGATCGGTGAGAAGATTGCTCGACCCTGTGATTCTTCCATTTTAGGTTGATGAAAATCTCGCACGTGATTCGCGGCATGGAATGGTTATCTAGTACTGGCAAACACGTGCTTTTGTACAAGTGGGTTTGATTGAAATTGGGTTTTAAGAACGCTGTTGTTTCTAGAACATTCGGATGGGAGCCACCCGCCTTTGTGCATTTGCCTCTGTTGACAAGAGATGGAAAACAAAAGCTCTCGAAGAGACATGCCGACGCCTTCGTCGATTACTATCATAAAGAGAAGGGCTTTCTGCCCGTGGCTGTGCTGAATCTACTGGTAAGCCGGAAACAGGCATGTTAACTCGGCCATCCTAGATTCGCAATGGCAGCGGAATCAAAAATTTCGACTCCAACCATCTATATACCTTGGAAGAAATGGTGACATCATTTGATGCTTCGCTGATTGGGAAACGTAATTTACAGGTTGCTTAGTTTTCCATCGGTTTTGAAGTAATTTTCTATAGGTAGATCCCAGCAGCCTTGAGCACTACGGCCGTCTCGCGTTCCAGAATTCTCCAATTAATCAGGTAGATCGTTGTTAATCAGGTCCAGAATTAATTAATCTCGCTTAGTTTTAACTTTTTTATTTTTAGTTGATCCCATTGATCCGTGATCGCGTCGCAAATGACTTGCCTGGCTGTAGAGCGTTTGCGACGACCCGGTCTACATGGAGAAGGTTATCCGATTTCTGCGAGAGCGGGAGGAGCGCTTCCATTCTCTGGCCGAGCTCATCACTCCGCAGTACGCCTTCTTCTTTACGCGCCCAGTTGATGCCAGCGCGGTAAGAGATTCTCACCGGAAAAATAGCCCCTTAGATAACCTGTAAGTATCCCGCCTATGAGGCCAAGGAAATCTTGGAAGCGGTGCTTCTACTTGCCGAGCCAGAAAACCTCAAGACGTTGCGCGACCTGGCAGATCGCTTTGGGAGCAACCACAGGAAAATATACGGGATTTTGAGGTATATGTTGTCCTCGACGAAAAAGAACTGTACCTAGAATTTCCATCACCGGCCATGCCACGGGCCCGCCGATCGCTGAGCTTTACGAATTCTTTGGGCGAGAGGAATGCACGAGCCGAATTCGACAAATGATCTCCTTCCTTTCATGATTCTGTTATCCAATTGTTATTTTTATCTGGTTTTGAATAAATGTTTTGTAGTCTATTGCCTGCCTTCTTTCTGCCGTCATATCAGGCACAGTTTATCTTCAACCATGACTTTTCCAAACCACGATTTCCCTCTCTTGCCCCACTCGCGAAGAACTATTTTTAGAAAATGGGTAAAGGTGAAAATCGGAAAGCAGCGCCGTGATAAGTTCTACCATCTTGCCAAAGAGGCCGGATACCGCTCACGTGCCGCCTTCAAGTTGATCCAGCTGAACAAGCGCTTCGAGTTTCTTCAATCTGCCAAAGCAGTCGTCGATCTATGTGCTGCACCGGGAGGATGGATGCAGGTGGCGAAACAGAACATGCCTGTCTCCAGCATTTGCATCGGTTAGTTGCGTTAGGCGGAATACTGACGTCAAAAACTTTAGGGCGTGGATCTTGTGCCGGTTAAACCAATCCACGGTTGCATCGCTTTGCAAGGAGACATCACCGAGGAATCGACTCGACGGGCCATCCGCAAAGAGCTGAAGGGTTTTCAGGTTGGAGTTTTCCTTTTTTCGATAAAAAATTTAGTGTGACACCGTGTTGCACGATGTGGTGCGCCAAACGTCGGTATGAACTGGACGCCGACGCCTTCCAACAAAATTGTCCGACGCTGATGGCCTTGGTGGCAACACAGATTCTGCGGCGAAACGGGACCTTTGTCACAAGGTTTTCCGCAGCAACGACTACCATCATTTGATTACGACCTTCGGTGATTGTCCCAGAGAGTTATGGCTTTATCAGGTCAATGTAGTTTTGCGTTTCAGGTGCATGTTTAGGAAACCGGCTGCTTCGCGTTTGGAATCTGCCGAAAGTCTTTGTTGTCTGCGAGAAGTACTCGAAGCCCGACAAAGTAGATCCCGATTTGCTGAATGTGAAGAAGGTGTTCCTCGAACCGGACTTGGACCCCGCCGAGCCCAACAGGTGATAAATCCAGGACTTTTCTGTAAAAATGATCATTTCCAGCCAAGCTCTCCTTTTGAACAAGAAGACGAAAAAGGCTTGCGTGCCGAGGGGCCCTATGCTGAGCGATGGACTGACCCTGCATAAGACTATTGATGCCGCTACGGTAGATTGCATCTTTTAACTTATAAGAGTTTTGCAGTTCGTTCCTCCTCTTCCGCCCTGGATCTGCTTGCTCAAACGAGCAGCATCAAGCTCGACCAACCGAAGTGGAGCGAAGCACCGGAAACGACGGACGAGGTGTGGTCCGTTTTCCTTCCAGCATCCCCATTTTAGGTCAAAGAATGCCTCAAGGACATTAAACTCTGCGGTCCACGCGAACTGCGCATCCTGCTCAAGTGCAAAGAAGATGTTGGACATGGTACATGCCGCTGAAGATGCGGATGTGGACATGGAAGCTGCTGAACCACAACCGTTATCTGCCGAAGACCTAGAAGATCAGGAATTGGCCAACATCGAAGCTGAGATCGCGCGCCAGTGCCGAGGAGAAATCCGAATTGAAGAAGTAAGTGATCGTTTTAGGGAGTCAGACTCTATAAAAATAAAGTTTACCTAATTTCTGTTGATACCACACCAATTTTTTTCTTGCAGGAAAAAGAAGAAAATGCTTCATGAAAGGCTAAGGTGCTGAAGCGCAAGCAGCTGAAGATGATCCACGGAGACGATCCAGGAATTTTGCGGAGATGCCAGGATTTATTCGCCCTAAAGAATATCAGAAGGTACGCTTTGCTTTTATAGCCTACCGCGTCGTCCAGGGAAGCCTGGCAACTTTAACGGATGAGGCTGTGCCGGATATCTCAAACATCGAAGACGATGAGTATGGACTTGGCGAGGGCGAATGGGAAGAACACGGAGATGAAGCTGATGACAATGACGCGGCAGCGTAAGCCTTCGTATTATAAAAAATACGGGCGTGTTGTTAGGGATGCTGATGACGACGATATGAACCCCAGTTCACCCGGAACAGTCGCTTGATGACTCCGGATGAGAGGAAGAAAGCGACAGTTAGGGAATGGAAAAATCAGGTAGATTTTTTCGCTTTTTGAGGAAAGGTTTTCAGCCGCTTATCAAAGAATTGCTGTCATCAGACGACTCCGACGATGAACTTGATGCGGTCGGAAATATATGGGAAAGAAGGGGACTCTTCAAGAAAATACAGGTAGATTCGTCTTTAGCACGCGAATTTGCGCTTTATTTAGTTTCTTTCGAAGCGACAAAACCTAATAAGACTGTGGAGAAGTTTGGAGACGCAGACGACGAGAAGGTTGATGGCACCACATTGTTCGACGCTGAAATGGAA